CAGAAATCCAGCCCAAGCTCCAGGGGACAGGGTTTGGGGTGACATCCTCCAGAAAATTTATTAATTTGCATAAAGTTGTGGTATGGACTTGTACAGGCCTTATAATTGCTTATTTCACTTCCTACTATTCTTACCACAATTTAACCCTACTACCAGCATAATATCTCAAAACTCAACTGTGATCACAATACTCTATCTTAAATGCCATTAGAATAAATACTCTCAGCTTGGAATCCAAGGTGTCACTTGAGGGTTACTTGAGGGTTACCAAATGAAACAGAGGACACTTGACTGACTTTGTGTTTTAGATAAGCACCAGATAATGTTTTAGTATAAGTATATCCTAAATATTGCATGGGATATACTTACACTAAAACATTATTTGTTGTTTATTTGAAATTCAGATATAACTGAGTGTCCCATATTTTTATTTGCTAAATCTTCAACCATATGCCTGCCCCAGTTCCGTTGCCCTAAGCTTCAACCAACTTGAATATTCAGTGTTCTCAAACAGCCACCCATGCCTAACTGCTTATTTTCTCTACAGTACTTCTATACCGTTGTTCTTGTTCTTACTCTACCTAGAATGCCCTCTCTACCTATCCTTCTCTGTCAAAGTCTTGCCATTTCTCAATGGCCACAAGCTTTTACTAATGGCTCCAGGCAGACATGGTGTCTCACATATTTGAGCCACATGGTGCTTTGTATCTCTTCTAAGGTATTTCTTCTACCTTACTTCCTCTATTTTGTATGTAGCCATGGGGTGCCTTGGTAGCTTATCTTGTCTCCTCTAGTAGAAGGTGAGTTCCTTAAGGCCAAAGATCATTATGACCACCTTTTTTGTTCCTATAGTGACTAGCACAGTACCCTGCACATATTTTGTGCTCAATATATAGCTGTTAAATTGCCAATGTTTAGCCCACCATGTTTTTAATAACTATATTTTAGTTACTAACTGGAAACAGTGATAATTCATTGGTGGCTAAGACCTTTCCACATTTGGATTCATTTGCTAATTAAGAATGAATCATTTGCTGGTTAAGATCCTTTCATATTTGTCATGTTTCAAGTGAAAAACAATGGAGGCTGAATAGCATGGAAATATCACTCGTGACTAGGCAATTCTCATAAGAGATAATAGCTACCATAACTTGGAATGTGGGATGGGTTAAAAATACTAATCTATCTTTCCATTTGATTTGGTATGGAGAGGAAGTGAGACTATTATAAAGCTGTTCAAGGGTGTCCTAACCCTTATGGAAGGATGAGTACTATTGTACTTTCATCTCTTCCTTCTATGTCCTTCCTTTCTTTGCCTCCATCTTTCTCATTTGGCCCCTCTGCATGGGGTGTGCCATTCATGTAGAACATATTAAGTCATGAGGTCATTTACCAGGAAACAGACAACTAAAGTTTTCAGGCATATCATCACTGATAAAGAAAAATGTCTCCTAACAGAAAATATGACATAGAACTGAACAAGTAAGTACTTAGAGCAATTCATTTAACCATCATGGAGGTTACCAGAACTTCTAGGCCCTGGACTCTGGCACTACCTTCGTGGGATAATGGTTGTTGGTTGCTGGCTATAGAGTGGTGGTTTTAGGATATCCAGCCTACCTTCCTTTCCCTCACATCACTTAGTATTTTCTTTCTGCTTAGGCCTACAGGGAAAGTGTTTTTACTCATTTAAAAGCAAATGTAGATACCTATCCCTTCAAAAGAGCTGCCCGCAACACAGCTAATGAAGGGATGATCTGACTCAGTAGTTCTATAAGTGATGTCTACATGCCCTGCTACCATCACACCAGTCAATGAGCCTCTCCTTCATACACAGCCAAAAATGGCCAATGAAACACAAAGATGAGTAACTCTCCCCAGACTAAAGGGTTTTGTAGGGCCCTAGATGTGTCCTTAAGAGTTAATACAGTGAAACTTCATGGGCTCAGGGGAGTTGAGTTCCATGCACCAAATTAATTTTTTTGTCCTAACACTTTCCTGACCATGCATAGCAATATTGGTAGGTGAGAAAATAATTTTCTAATCCCAGCATAGAACCTTTCTTTGACTAAATGGTCACTTCATATGTTTAAAATGCCTTTATTGGGATAACTTATTGGATTTGGAAGGAATACAGTTTGTCAAGATAAATGTATTTCTAAGGGGTGGCTCAAGACATAAGTATGTTTAATTAGTGGTTGTAATATTCCTGACTCAAGTTCTTTTGCATTAAGAATTTATATATCAGCTTTCCCATCCTTTCCTTGCAAACTCAAACAATCCCTCCTCCCCACTCTCTATTTTTTTTTATTGCTCATTTTAAACAAGGAAAATCTAAAATGCTGGTTTGAAAGAAATATAGTAAATTAGCTGCACTAAGTCCCCTTTGAAGGAAAATGACTGATAGTTTATTGCTCTCTGGCAAAAAATAGATAATGCAGTTTCCTTTACTGGCCCCATAGTCATCAATTTAAAATGCATAACAAGACCTGCTTGGCATATATACTCATGTGTTTGTTCTAAATCCTTATTTTGTCAATTAAGCCCTATGTTACTGTCCATTGAAAAAAATCAAGTTCTATCTTACAGGGCCAGTAAGAAAAGGCATTTAAAATTTTTTGAACTAATAAGGAAAGATACTAAATATGAATGTCAGTGTAGGATTCATTCAGTTTTACCAGTGAAGTCCTGAAAGGAATGAGACTTTTAGCTTTTTGAAAAACACAAAATACCTTCATGCTTCCTGACATAATTCTACCCTCAGATTTTTTTAAGATTTTATTTATTTTGAGAGAAAGAGGGAGAGAGAGAGAGAGAGAGAGAGAGCAAGCATGAGTGGGGGAGGGGCAGAGGGAGAGGGAGAGAATCTCAAGCGGACTCCACATTGAGTGCAAAGCCCAAGACAGGGCTCAATCTCATGACCCTGAGATCACAATTTAAGCCAAAAGCAAGAGTCAGACACTTAACTGACCAAGCCACCCAGGTGCCTCTCTACCCTCAGTTTTGTAGGGTCTTCTCTCAGAGATGCTTCATGTATAGAGATTGGTTTATAATCTTTTCTTAAAAAGGTTTTATTTATTTATTTTAGAGAAATAGAGAATGAGAGCGAGTGGGGAGAGGGGCAGAGGGAGAAGGAGAGAATCTCAAGCAGATTCTGTGCTGAATGCGGAGCCTGAGACAGGGCTCGAGCCCACAACCCTGAGATCATGACCCCAGTGGAAATCAAGAATGCGATGCTTAACCAACGGTTGAGCCACCCAGATGCCCTGAGATTGGTGTATAATCTCAAGAATAAAAAGAGATTCTCTTTATAGGTCTAGAATGAGAGGCAGCTGGTTTGTGTGTAAAAAACATGGGTTCTACATTCAAATAGAAAGGTTCCAATCCTGCTACTGACAAAACTCAGGCCGGTTACTTAGCCACTCTTAGCTCATATTTCTTTTCTGCAACGTGTGGCTAATAATATTTACCTAGATTTGTGGTGGGTAAACATTCAATAAAGGCAAGCAAGCTTTATTTAATAATCTTGGCTTCGGCTACATGTACACCTGTAATGGGAATAAAAAATTCACAATTCCATGCTTATGTAGCCAGGATTGCAAATAGCATCCACCGATACGCGGACTGTTGATATTTCAATTGTTGGGGAAGCCCAGGACTCAGTGAGATGGTGGCCTGCATTCAATGGTAAGAGCTAGAATAGCACTCAGGTGACTTCTCCTGGAGTTCAAATCAGTGTGAAGGTGAGATCCCAGGGCCCTCCTGTGGTGGCTGCCAAATCACCAAGTCTGGTCTTGATCATACAAACAGTAAAACTTAATTTGAAATTGAATAGCTCTGTAGATTTGTCATTGTCTTTGATATGGGCTCCCTCAGGGGAGAACCTTGAAGAATTATTGTCAAAAGGGTAGAAATGTGTTGGTGAAAGCTGTCCACATGCTGTGTCTGTACATTTAGGAGTAAATCACGGTGATCTTCCTGCTGTTCGGGACTCCGTCTGTTGACATTAAAATGTCCTCACAACTTATAAAAATCATTAAGGACTCCATTTGTGCCTCCCTGGTGGGAAGTTAGGAAATAAAGCCATGCCAGCTAGTGTGCATTTCAAATATTTACAATACTGTACTTTCCAGGCAACACTCTCGCATCATCCCTCTGAGAAATTAGTGCAGACAAAGACTAGCCCTCCCCCAGGCCAGCATTTTATTAAGGAAATCTCAGAGTCAGTCTTTCTCCATTGTCCCCCAGAACCTTGATCTCGTCACCTCTAATGCTTATGCCAGAGAATAAAGGAAAGGAAAGGAAGGAAACAAGGAGGGGGGAGGGGATTAGGAGGGAGGGGAGAAGGGGAGAGTAACTGGCATTTCACAAGTGCATAGTAAGTATTTACACTGAACTGAGCCTCCACCATACACTTCCATTCTAAATCTCAATTGAACTATAGTTTCAGTAACAAGGGACAAAGTAATAGCAACACTGATGGCTCGTAAGTATTCTATATGAAAGAAAAATATGGAAAACGACAAGATCACTCCCTGATGGATGAAAGGTAAAAGACTGACTCGAAGACAATTTCTTTAACAGGAAAAGTGTAAAATGATGGGAAAGGGTAGTAGGAATGGTTTTAGAATTTATTTCCCAGAGGACTTTTAGAATTGAACACATTTTTTACCTTTCTGGGATGGTTTGAAGAGGCCCAACGGAGGGCAAAGAAATGTATCCTTAGAGATATGTATGAGTCTGTGAAGTCTTTCAATGGAAGGCTGGAAATGCTATGGACAGTTGGGATAAGGGCAAGAAAAAGATGGAAAGACAAATCCAAGGAGAGTTTCTTGCTTAGGCTCACGATGTGTACGAGGGTAACGTGCCAGGTTTCCCCTCCCACTCCCAACTTTGCTCACCAGATATTGTGAGCAAATACCTCCCCTGGTGTAATCCAGCACCAGATCCCAGAATGGAATGGCTATGTCACTGAGCTTGTCCCTACTCTCCGATGGCAGGAATCACCACAGTGCTGACCATGTCCACCATCGTCTCTGGCATGAGTGCTTCCATGCCCCAGGTGTCCTACATCAAGGCCGTGGACGTGTACCTGTGGGTCAGCTCCCTGTTTGTGTTCCTGTCAGTCATTGAGTATGCAGCTGTGAACTACCTCACCACTGTGGAAGAGCGAGAACAATTCAACAAGACAGGGAAGGTACTGCCTGGCTTTAACTCACAGATCCCTTCTGGAATGTGAAAAAGACTATCCTTACCTGTAATCCTCTCCTGGGTGTCATAAGCCCTTGTAGTAAGTCTCTATGCCTTGGCCAGATGCAAGTTTACAGGATTTAATAGTGAACCCTATTCTCTCTGTTCTGGCTGGTTTCCTCAGCATCCTTACTCACCTTTGCCAGGAGTTGTTTTGTGATTTCTCTCAGTGTGCCCCCTCCACTGACTCTATCCTTTGAAAAGGAAGGGTTGATATACAAACTATACCCTTTCAAGTAGGTGATGATGATGATGATGATGATGATGATGATGATGGCAGTGATGAGATATAGCTAACCTTTAATGTGTGTTTATTATGTACTGGTATTATACTAACCACCTACCATACAGGATGTCATTTAATTCTGAGCAACCCCAAGAGGTCGGTTCTTTATCACCTTCATTTTACAGAGGTGAAATAGGAGCAGATACGGAGTAACTCGGCCAAGGTCACACAGCCTAAGAGGAATCAGGATTTGTTTCTGGCTCTCCCTGACTCCAGGGTTATGCTCTCCATCCATAGATGATATATTTCTCTACCAGAACTAGGATTTATGTTTCTCTTCTTGTCACTTGAGGGAGTGAGAGAACATGAAGAGAGGTTCTTCTTTCCACAGTACACTGGGAATAAAGGTGCCTTCTGGGTTCTAAATGTCATCACATGTTTCTTGTGCCATTGTTTAATAAATATGGATAGATTGATATCTACCTGCTTCATTTCACAAAGGACTGGGGCGCCAGTTCGTTGCTGTTATGAGAAATGACATAAGATACTGTACTTCAGAAACCTAACTGATCATATCAATTTGTTTGCTAGCCTACACTTAAGACTATGTGTGTGTGTGTATAATTTTAATATATTTACATTGGTTTAAGTAACTCTTACATGGACAATTATATACATGCCCCAAACATTATTTAATATTTGTTATGCTTGTAGTCAGAGCATTTTTTACTTTTCAGATGTTTTATATCCTCTTTTCGAATTGAACGTTCATATCAGCTCCATGAGGTAGACCTTATGGAGATTATTATCTCTATTTTTAAAATGAAGCAGCAGAGTTTTAGTGAAAGAAAGTGATTTGCCAAAAGATTCACAGCCAACAGAGATGCAATTACAATTTAGATCTCCTGTAATACTCCTTCATTCTTCTATTATATATATCCTTTGAGTCAAAGCTGGAATAGGTGCTGATTTTGCTTTATTGCTGATGCTTCCATTTCTTTTGTTGACAACATGTGAGTAAGTGTCCCTGCCACATACATATCCACAGTGACTGCTAGGCGGGTGTGAGGAAACCAGGAGCTTTTAGACAAGTATGCGGTAATGGGTAGTGTACACATCACCTGGGATTTGTTAGATTTTTGTTCAGTAGTTCTGGGGTGTGGGATCAGTGAGTCTGCATTTCTAACAAGCCCCAGATGCTGTTGGTCCATTACCCACACTGTGAATAGTAATGATTTAGATAATCTGTGAAGTGAAAGATGACAGAGAAAAAAATGTGTGATGAGGAAAATAATGTGGTTCTTGTTCTGTTTTATTTTTATGTGGGAAATGGTTAACCCAAGAAAGAGGTACTGTCATAATCCCGGCCCACCTCCATCTAGTCTTTTGACTCCAAACTTGTCTACATCTCCCCACCCCCACCTGCCACACAACACATGTGTTCACACTACTGAACTTTCTTTTTCACTAGATGGGTTTGTACACACTCTTCTTGTGTAACACTAAGGAGAGAATCTTTTGAGTTAGTAAGCATCATATGTTTTTTAAAAATTTTTTTATTGGGGTAAAATCCACATAACGTAAAACTTGCCATCTTAACTCTTTGTAAGTGTACAGTTCAATAGTGTTAAGAATATTCACCTGGTTGTGCAAGGAATCTCCAGAACTTCTTCATCTTACAAAACTGAAACATGGTGCCCATTACACAGCTCCCCATTTTCCCTTTCGCCAGCCTCCGGAAACCACCTCCTTCAAAGGTGCGATTATCTCAAAGAAATGTCCTACCTGCCATTCCTATATTTATGGGGCAAAATGAAAGACCATAAGATTCGGGGTCCGAAGAAGTGATGCCAAACCTAACTCCACTACTTCCTAGCTCTGCGTTTTGGGTTGTCTCCTAAACATCATTTGTTATTTTCGGAATGTTGGCATTTCTCTCCTATTTATCTGACATGGCTATTGTAAATGGTGTAATAAATGGGTCTGAAACTTTTGCAAGCTGTAAGATGCTACACAAATGTTAAGTTCTTATTGTGATTAGTGCCCAGGGCAGAGGCTCTGAAAGAATAGTAGTTTCGACAAGGATAGCGGGACAGGCTGTTTGAGATGAGAAATGGTCAAAGGGGTAGGACGCCCTGGTGAGGCACAGGGTAGGAGGACCTGTCTAGAGGTTCGGGGGATAACCGGTGATACTTATTTCCTCTGTACCTGAGTTTTAGAGAGAGAAAGATGTGGGGACAAGACAGGTAGATAAGGTGGTGTCACCTTTGTTGTTGATAAAGCAGTTGGGAGTAAGTGCCTTAGATATGTGAGCAGGAGGGCTCACTAATACTTCATTATTGTACTAAACATACTCTTTTGGTCACTGGTGAAGCTAGACAATACAGGACTCTTCCTGACAAGACAGTCTCCTTTTACCTCATTTCAGAGAACAGATTTAGATACCAATGCAGATCACAAAGTGAGGACTCAAAAGGAACTGAACCACACACGCTAGTTCCTTCTCCTAAATCTCTATGGTGGAGTAATGGAGGGATAGTGAGAAAGACCAGGAATGTTAGGGTATGGAGTTCCTCCCTATGAAGTTAAGCAAAGCTCATTACCTACCACCATCACCATCACACCCCTGTCCCAACCCCACCCTGATGCCAAGAGCTGGGAGAACATCAAGGGCCATGGAAAAATCGTCCCTAGTGTTGATGTTTGCCCAGAAAGGAGAAAGGAAGTTATTTTCTTTCTTCTACTTTCATCCAAATGTATTCCTACTTCCAGGACTTAGAACTTAATATAAAACAGTCAAATCTCTACTTTAGATATAGGATGTCTTGGGGATGTGCTTATTTGTAGACTAGTGTGAAAAATTAAAGACCCATTCTAAAACTGTTTTTACTAGAAAAACCAACTTATACATTTGTGGAAATTAGCACCCTACTGGTAAATTGTCTACTGCAAGATTTCATCAATTATATAAATGGTTCTAAATTATCATAATGTCCAGTAGGATAAGCCAACTGTTCTGGGTGGCTATAATGAAACCACTGAAGAGACTGTATTAGTTATTCTATCCTCAGATCCAGAGTTGAATATATTATTAATGTTATTTTTGGCTATCTGAGGTTAGTTTTTGAGTCATGATCTATTTCATGTTTGTATGATCCATTTTCATTTTACTATGAAAAGTTTCTACAGCTAAAACAATAAAGGACAACATAACTTGAGTATGGGTCTTTGGTTAGTTTACTGAAGACATAAAATATTCTCTATGTCTCTTGAATTCAGTAGAATATTAGGTTTTTTAATTGCTATGAACCAAATACGTGTTTTGGCAGAATTTACTCTGTAGCCTCCAATTTGAATTCTAAATAATTTCCTCCCGTGGTAGCCTGTTCATATTTGTTTGTTTTTTTCACTTCACTATAAGATCAAGAAGTGATTTTGTTTTCTCAGAAAGAAACTAGCAACAGCTGCTTCATAGACACTGTTCTGTATCAGCGAGAACTATCTCCCTCAAAGTAAAACCTTAAAGAAAAATGGTAGTTTAGATTCAATCAGGCACTGGAGCCAGAAAGCATTGATAGTTCTCTCCTTCTGAAAAATAAGCCAATTTCAAGTTGTTTAATTGGGCTATGTTGGTATCATTTATAGGTACTTCCCAGCAAAAATAGGAAGACTTGGCCAATTTGCACTTAAAAAGAGCAGCTAAAATCATTTCCTACCCTTACTCCAAATTTAAACATAAATGGATCACCAGACGATGTTGTTCTGGTTTTGGACCCCACACTGACTGGGTGTATTGCTATGTTTTCTCTAAAGAGGAAAATATGTTGAAAAGCAAATCCAATTGGCTTATATTGCTCTTCTGATAAATCATATTCAATTTCAACTCAACATTATGGCAAACAACTCATACTACTCAGAAACAAAGGGGAAACCTGAAACTGTTCCTTTCTGGGGAAACATGAATTTGAGTGTTCCAGTCTATCAGGCCAGAACTAAATTAGAAGATATTGACATTATAATTGTGAAACATTTATTTGTATAATGTTCAAATATCTCTATGTAGATAATAATAAATCTTGCTAAATCCCTATTAAAAACAAATCTCTATGATGATGTTTTCCATTTATTATTAAAATGACTTTTAGTCAGATACCAAAAGCAAAACCAGGATTCTATTCTTTAAAATAAGCAAAACATTCTTAGCATTTCTTGAAACTATTTTAAAAATCTGATTGTTTAGACTTTTACTGTAATTCCTACAATGCAGAACCATATTCATGACTTACTAACAAAAGTCTTTTTGTCAGCTTTCTGGAATGTATAATATTGATACAGTTCAAGCCATGGCCTTCGATGGTTGTTACCATGACAGCAAGACTGAAATGGACCAGACTTCCTTTTCTCTACACTCAGAAGAGGACTCCATACGAGGAAGATCCACAGACAGCCCCAGCACAGACTCATCTCAGATAAAGAGAAGGCAGTCCTTAGGAGGGCATGTTGGTAGAATCATTCTGGAGAATAACCATGTTATTGACACCTATTCAAGGATTTTCTTTCCCACTGTGTATATTATATTTAATTTGTTTTACTGGGGTATATATGTGTGAGGAAGAATTCCCAATGTATAACAGTTGTTTTGGAATCAGATTATGTTAAAAACAATAACAGCGACAAGCAACTCTTGACTATCAGTTGGACAGTACTAGACTAAACTGGGAGTCAGCCAGTCACCTCTCCTGGCCTACAGAAGATTTGAAAGTTGACTGATTTACATCTAGGAAAGAGTTTAAGGTCCCAGGAGCATTTAACTCCATACATGAGTCACAGACATGCATATGGCAGAAAAACAATTCCCATAGGGAAGGACTTTGTGATTACTTCTCCTAGACCCTCTTTACTTTCTAAATGTAAACTTTTTGTATTTACCTAAGGAATAAAGCTATGACAATAATTTAAGAAACATTTATTCCTTAGTGCTAGTCAAGTACCAGATTACCTAACAGAGTTGAACCCTTGTAAGGAAGAACATCGGCATCAAGGTGCTACCGTGGATACTCACACAACTGAGATGCACATGAAGAGCCTCCCTGTCCATTTCCAACCACGTCTTTTGTCTTATTTCACTATTACATTTCATATACTATTGACTCCAAGAGCAGAAAATCTAAACTTTCCTCCTAACCTAATGTTAAATTAATACATCATTCTTCAATAAGAGAATCTTGTATTTTGTAGCTGAGTTATAGCTTCTATAGCTTTTGGGAGGCATTTAATTAATTAGTTACTATATTCACCAAATGTTTATGGACCTCCTACATGTGCTAGGCACTTTATTAGGTGTTATTTAGTAAAAAAAAAAAAAAGAAGAAGAATACAAAATGACATTTCTGCTGTCAGTGAGCACACAGCCTATCAGGAACTGATAGCTATCATAAATAATAAATGCAATAGCTGTAAAAATAGCGGTTTGTCCACTGTACTGTCTGAGTTCTGAAAAGGGGATACCAAAAGAAAAGAACATCCATGAAGGGATGGACTCTCAATTTATAAGCAACTAAAGATGCTTCCAGACATGGCATTGAGTGAAAAACTGAATGAAATTTATGTATCCTATAGTAATCCCATAGTAACTTTGGTTGAACCAAGTAAATCAGATCAAGTGGGTATTAAATAAATGTTTGCTAAGTAGAAAAACCTCCAATGATCAGTATTCATTTTGTAGACTAGCAGTGTGCATGCTGTTGTGTTAAGTATTTTGTGAAAAAGATTCCTTGTGGAGATCAGCCCTCAGTAGGAAGTATGAAATATTCTTCCTATTTTGATTTCTGGCATTGAATTAAGGGAAATAAATTAAATGGTGTGTTAGTTTCAGTGTGTTGCCATTTATCTCACCATTAAGTGAACCAAAACCATTTGAATTACTTCGTGCCAGGTGTAGTGACAAGTAACTTCCTGCTTATTTACCAATAACATTGATTTTGGTTCTCTGCTGTGAATGACATAATGTTCTAGAAACTTATTTTCCTTTTTGGTACAAAAGATTTAAAGGCAAATTCCATCTCTATCATAACTTCCCTCATAGGCAGGCTAAGTATCTGGGATACTTCACTCTATTTTCTTAACACAAATTTGGCAATTCTTTCAAAACTTTTCAAGGATTATATTTTTCTAGGAAACTGTCCAAAATTGAGCTAATATGATTTATTAAAACCCTTCTCCATATGATTGTAGATAGACCATAAATACATTTTAAAACTATTTATTTAATAGTTTTTTAGCCCAATTTAAAAGGAATAGTAATTTTATATGATTATATTTTCAAAATATGGTACAGGTTAATATCCTATGTGGTTCTTTGAGAATTTGTAGCTATTAGTTGAGCAGAGTACTACAGTTGTGTTAATATTTCTGATTCTGACATACTTTGTATACAACAGATGTTAAAAAAAAAAAAACAACAGACAAATCTACAAATGAACATAGCAAATCTACACCATTCTCTTCTTCTAACTCTCTGGTTCTTCAGACATGACTGTTTTTCTTCTACTTTGAACTCTACCGTTCAGGATGTCTAAAGCTTCCCCTGGGCATATTCGCTTCCCAGTTTCAAATCAAATGTATCTGAATACATTTGACAGTCTAAGCTAGAAGAATGGGTCTCCACCATACTACTCATACACTCGGCATTCCTCCTGAGGAGCAGTAATGCACAATTGTTGGCCAATCAAACGTAACTTTTGTTAATGTCTAGAAATGGTCTTTGCATTCTTAAGTAATGTCTAAACTATGTTTGCTGCTCAAGAGAATTACTAGAGTCTTCAGAATGAGCCCCTGGGATTTTGGCCAGTTTTCATCTCCTCAAATTTGTGGCTTGTGAAGACTGTAAGGAGAGAACTGTTCCTGTGAGCTTGATTTCTACCAGGGAGCACCAAGGCTTCTGGTTCCATTATTTCAAAAAGAATGAAATCACAGTTACCTGAGAGATGTGTGAGTGACAGCATATCATAGTTACCTCATTTTGATTTTCACTTCATTTACTGATCACAATCCAGAACAGACTGTGTGTGATTGTTCACTGAGGGATAAGCTTGGATAAAATGTGAGGATTTCAGAAAATAAGCTGCTTTCCAAGATTTAAGAAAAAGCCAGCCAGCTCTGTAAACTGCCTAAGTATAGAAACAGGATATTTTATAGGGACTACTCTGGAAAATCTATGAAAAGATATATTTTTAACTTACTGTTATTGTTTTCTGATTACAAAAGAAATACAATTTCAATATAAAAATTAAAAATACCAATTGGCAAAAAAAATCCACTCAGAATTAAGTAGTTAACATTTTAATGCATATTCTTAGAGTTTTTCTATGCATAACATATATTTTTCTATTGGACTCATTTTGTATACACGTGCATTTATTAATTTAAGCACTTATATCATACCAAACACTGTGTTGGGGACACAGTAAAGCTGGACACTCCCTAACTTATTGAACTTACAGTCTCATTGGGAATGTGTCTAACTTTATGCAGTTTGTAGCCAGATTTTCTTCTCTGGATCATAAGCAACATTTCTTTTAAGTTATTTAAATTTTTTTTCATAAACAACTTTCTATGCCATTTTTTCCTGCAAAATAATTTTTATATGCTGCAGAGCCGTCCGCTGAATAAGTATACCATAGTTTATTTAACCCATCTCCTCTTGTGGAACATTTGCTTTATTTCCTATTGTGTGTGATTATAATGGGCTGCAATTAGTAACATAAAGAATAGTTAGAAGTAGGGGCGCCTGGGTGGTCAGTCATTCGGTTAAGCAGGTTAAGTGGTTAAGCATCTGCCTTAGGCTCAGGTCATGATCTCAGGGTCCTGGGGATCCAGCCCCACGTTGGGCTCCTTGCTCAGTGGGGAGTCTGCTTCTCCCTCTCCACCTGCCCCTCCCCATTCCTTCTGTGCACGCTCTCTCTCTTTCTGTCTGAAATAAATAAGTAAAATCTTTTTAAAAAGAATATTTTGAAGTAAAATTATTTTAGAAACAAATGCAATTTTTAGCCATATCCAGATTTCAGCATCTATTTCCTCTATAAGAATTCCTTTTTGCCACTAGAATCTGCCATGTCAGACTCACTTACCTGTCTGTTTAAATGGATATATATCCATCCACTGGTGTTCCCTTTATAAAAGAAGTTTAGACATTATATAAAATACTTATATTAAAGCAGTCCTATATATTGAAATTCTGCTTTCTTCCATGACCTCGATTGCCATCACAAGTCCTTTTTGTAAGTAGGAGAGTAATTGAGATTGCAAATATTTGCCTATGAGTTGCTACACGATTATAATTTATGGTTACATTGTCTTAATCCTTGCAGGTGGATTAGTTTTCATGAATAATGTCTATCATTTTGTATTGTGCTACTCATAAGCCTGTTCGAATCACTCCCACCCACACATACAATTTTTTAACATGGAGATGAATGAGGAAAGGAATTATACCTAATTCTATGGTCATTATTAAGGTCAAAATGCCAATGAGATTAACAACAGCCTCAAAGAAATAAGAGAAAAGGGTGGTAAGGAAATGGCTATTTCAACCGCAATTCTGACAGGGCCTGGCACTATTTCCTGACAGGTCCTTTGGTGACACCATCAGGGTTACATCCTGTCTACCTCATTTGTGGAATGAGCCACCTCTGCTTTCCTTGTAAACATTGCTTTGAAACAGTTTAACTGGAACGTCCTGGTCATTTTAAAATTATCACTTTCCAATTGAGTTTGACCTCCCTGAACTTAACAGAGAACTTGAACATTTTGTTTTCTCTTGTGAAGAAACTGTGAAAGACAAAATGCACTAGCTAACTGAGACGATTTTATCAGCTTATTGCAAGGGGGAGGATATTCATTAATGAGCAACATCTCAAAATAAAGGAAGGGGGCCCAGAAATCCAAAAAGACAGAAAAGCAAGGGAGTCTTCTTCAGAGGTGGAGGTAGAGGTGGGCGAGGCGGCTCCTATCTCAGGATATAGGACAGCAAGGTGGTCATTTCTCAGAAGACAAAATGGGGGGGGCATATTTTTGGACTCTAGCTACTTTCCAGGAACACAGGGGCTTCAGATAAAGTTCAACACTGTCACTTGTTTTTCTAATTCTAATCTACTGCTGAATCATAATGTTTTTTGATCAATAATTAGGGCCAAGTGCAGAAAAGAGATTTCAGTCACTGAGAAAAATTACCATAGTTTTCTTTTCAATATATTGATACTTAATGCAATGTAGGAAACATTGAACTACATTTTATTATCAATTAGGTCACTTGATGGATGAGTTATTACTTTTGATCCCAGGATCGATACAGTTCATTATAGAAACTTATTTTCTGCAAGAGTGCTTCAAAGGCTTTCTACAAAATTGTGCTGCTGGTTGCTCACTCCTTGCCTTAGGCAATCAAAAGGAGATGAAGTTATAATATTATTAGCAAAATTCTTAAACCTATTGGGAAGCAATAACACTTTCTGAAGTTTGATATACAAGGCTGAGTCCTTTAAAAGTGACAGATAGGTTTTAATATTTCCCAGAAGACTAGCTACTTAACCAGGCCCCCTAAGAAAGAAAGTGCTAGCACACATTCATTTCTTCTCCTCTTCAGAGAACATTAATGCAGGTGTTTCAAGTGTTTTACAGTTTAAAGGAGTGTTACAAACACAAACCCACACATCACATCAAATAAATTTTCAGAGCAATCACACCACCCCAGAATCACTTAAAATAGGTTTTGTTACTTAGGTTGTATCTTGGGTGAAGTTATATTTAAATTAAATGCCGAATCATTGTGAAGGAAGCCTCAGGACCTGCTGAAGAGCTTTTAAATGAATATGCAGTTCAGGTACACGGTGAAGAAAGAGATGGTTTTGTGAAAATGAGCTCTAATAATTTAATGTGACTTATAAAGATAATGTGAACTTGAAGCAGGAGAGAAAAATAAGGCAAAAGAAAGAGAACAGTAGGAGCTAAAAATGTGGTTGATTCCTAAAATGAACTCAGAACTCCATAGTGTGTATCTTAAGGGAAGATTTGGATTTGAAGGTAGAATTAATTATATTTGATTATTTTGGATAATATCCTGGTCTAGCTTAATGCAATCAGATGATTATTGCTCATTTGTACAAAAGATGGTGTATCTTTGGGCAATCAAAGTAATTAATTGCATGTTGGTCGCCAAGTAATCAATGTAATATGCCATCCTGACTGAAATAATCAAATTATTCAAGTTATTAGGATCATTTGATTCTCTCATGACAGTATCTCTTACCCCTTTTATGCAGTAAATTTCTACTTGATTCATGTGGATTAACCATTTATTATATAGCTGAATCATATTTTATATGAAATAATCTGAACTTGTTGGGGGTACAGATAGAAAACGACTTTATTTTTAATCAATGACTGTTTAATATGCTTTATTGGCTATTACTTCTCTACCCCTTGCTGGCATCTCAGGTAGATCCCACAGCTTTTTGGATACTTTGAGTTATTGGCCAATTAGCCAATCAGCAATCACATATAGACACATAAATACATATAAAACACTCACTTTGATGACGGAGATTCATTTTCAGGTATAAAGCTGATTTAAGTGTGTTTTCACTTTTTCCACCTTAGGCTTAAACCCTGAACTGTGGAAATTGTCCTAGGAAGAAGGTAAACTCTGCTCTAGTACCTGTCTCTCTCCTACCCTCCTCCATTCTACCAGGTTCAGGGGCAAAGAATGGATGGAGAGGATTAGGGAAAGAACTGACAAAAGTCTTTTAACTTAAATGTTATGTGTTTTAGTTCTTTCAGTTGGTTGATGCCCTCTGGGTGGCAGGTAGGCCTGATTTTGTGGGCATGAAACCAGTACCTTCACACAAGGCCTCACCTGTGGGGGTTAATGCTCTGCAGTTGCCATCTTGAAATTTTTAATAATGTAATCTTTGAATGTGTTCTGTAAGTGAAGACTGTTAGAACAACGGTGCACGTACAAGGTGTGGCACGCACAGTTCAGCTTCCTACCCTGTGGGATGGCTTCTAGACCTCGCTTTCCTGCTTCCCTCTTTCAACTCCACCTGAGACCCATGCTGCCCCTTGCCCCCGGTGGGGGCCTATATACCGATCCACACATCCCACAGTTTTTCCCTGCCCTGGCCTGGCCGTTCCATGCTGTGTTTGAAGAGCGCCTGGACTGGAGCAAGCCTCTCACCCACCCCCTATGCAGGGAAGGTATAAGCCCTGGCTGGGAGGTTACAATCTCCTGAGTTTGGCCAGTCTACTTTGGGTTGGGGCCCTTGACCAGTGTGTCAGGAAGATTGATTTCCCCGCTCCTGGCCTGGGCACTGCAGTGTCGGTCCAGTGGTGAGCAGGAGGGGGTACTCAGTAGCCTGTGAGCCATGTATGTCTGTGCATCTGTGGGTGCTGAGTGCCGCTGCAGGGCCCTCCAGTGCCTGTGAATGTGTGCACTCACCTTTCAAGTATTCCTCTGTTTGCTAGAATATGACATTGAATAGCAAATAAAAAACAGATCACCATTATAGTGTAGAGGGAATCTGCAAAGGAAAGAAATCATTCTATACTTTAGCACCTTTAATGGCATGCCCCCCCCTACTTTTAGAACAAGGCGTTTATATTTTTGTTTTGCACTCAGCCCCACCAATGACATAGCCATCCCTGGTGGCAGGTGTTCAAATATTGAAGCTTTCAAGGGATACTGGTGAAGGTTCTTTGGAGGTATACACACTCTGGTTTACTGAAGTTAACCCTGAGATCTGTGACAGACCTTGTATGATTTTGTACTCTTTTTCCAACCATGCCAAAGTTTATGCATCTCTTTTTATAAATAACAGGAGTCTATAATTTTTTTTTAAAAAAGGGTTATTTTCCTTTTCTATATTCAGAGGCAGTTTATGTAAAGTATATTTTTCTCTTCCTTGAAAGTTGAAGAAGATTCATTAGTAGATCTGGCAGTCCCCAACTACTGCCACCATAGAGATCAATTGGTTGGTCATTATTAGGTCATTATGATAAAAATTTTGAAGGAAGATAAGTTAACGAAAGTGCCATCACAATGTGAGATTCTCTCACCCATGCAGACATGCTGTGCTAGTCTCCCAGGAAACATTTTCAGTAGGAGCCTGTTTAATTTTTTTTTTAAACTTTTTTTAAGATTTTATTTATTTATTTGAGAGAGAGAATGAGATAGAGAGAGAGAGAGAGAGAGAGAGCATGGGAGGGGGGAGGGTCCGAGGGAGAAGCAGACTCACTGCTGAGCAGGGAGCCTGATGCGGGACTCGATCCCGTGACTCCAGGATCATGACCTGAGCCAAAGGCAGTCGCTTAACCAACTGAGCCACCCAGGCGCCCGGAGCCTGTTTAATTTAAAAAAAAAATCCAAGGAGTATGAACATAAAGCACTTGTGCAGGAGTATATCTTATTTTTATAAGAATCATGGACACGTTTGTTTCAGGGTTTATGGGTGACATATTAAGCAGAAAAACATCTCTCTGAGGAAAAGAGTCACTGGCCAAAACCCAGTGTATTTTCATCTGTAAGTGCTTGGCTATTGAAGGAGGGAGGTCTGGAGTATTATTTAATTTGAAAAGTTAAATAGCCTATCACTGACTTTCCTTGTCCTGTAAAAGAAATTAGACTGTAAGCAAGACAAGAAAATGGGAATATTAACCCAATTCAATTTTGTAAACGTTGAGTAAACTACACTGTGTGAAGCACTGTCCTAGTTTTCAGAAAAAATGAAAGCAATTCCCTGGCTCTGAAGAGTTTATTTGTTTATTTAAGATTGATTTATTTATTTTTAGAGAGAGAGAGGGAGAGAGAGAATCTTCATCAGACTCCCTGCTGAGCATGGAGCCTAATGTGAGGCTTGCTCTCGGGACCCTGAGATTATGACCTGAGCCAAAACCAAGAGTCAGACAGTCAATCGACTAAGCCACCCAGGTGCCCTATAGCTCCAAGGAGTTTAAAACATGTTATAGAAATATGTAAAATATAATTCCAAACAGTAATTGTATACTTTTTTCAAGTCGATTAGATTGATTTCAACAAGATGTAACACAAGATTAACTTTGGAATACCTCAGCCTGGGTCATTAAAAAAAAAAAAAATGTGGTGCTTCTGAAGTTACCATAAGTCCAACCAAGATTATTCCATGGCAATATGGCTATGTTGGTTGGAAGGTGACTTGTTGGATGAGTGTGGTCAATGAAGTGAAACATATACGTGTAAAAGGCTTAGTTGCATTTAATTCATCCTGTGAATCATGTTCAAAATGTTGTAATGGATTTAACAATAATGCCTCTCAGGTGAATAGCATTTTACAGTTTAACACTCTTCTGCCTACCCGATCTCACCCAAGACTCACAGCAGCTTTGTGAATTGGACAAATCAAGCAAAATTAACCATTTTTACAGATGCAGAAAATGAGGTCCAAAAAGAGGATTAGTCGATAGGCAGCATGGGATTTTGATTTAAGTCCCAGATCCGCTATCCAATGGTTGTATAACTTTGAGCAAGTTATTTAACCTTGCTATGCTTTGGTTTCCTTATATTATATAAATTGTTTGTAAAAGTTAGGATGATAGTAATAATGGCATAGATATGAAATAAAATCATATATAAGAAAGAAATTACTTAGATCCTTTCTGGACCAAAGTGAATACAAATACATAGGGGGCACTGTTCCCACTGTTTAAATAATATCTGTGTTTCCTGGGATTCTGCAATGTGATAGCCCTAAAAAATAAAAGGAAGTTTGAAAACAAAAATTCCTAATACAAGTATTCGTCATTTTACAAGCTCCTCAATGTTCATAGATTGAATGCGTGATTCCAGTCAGACTGATTTTTCTCCTAATATCCTGTGGAAATTGGTGCACAGACCCTTAGGCTTATAGAATTTGAGAGGCAGTAGGGATAATACAGAATTATCTGGTTCAATCTCACTTTATAAGTGAGGAAACAGCATCAGCAAAAAGAGACAGCTAGGTTCATATACTGGGCATCTCCTTCTCTGAGTTAGATCTAGTAACCTTTAAGAGTACACTCACACACCATGATTCTAAGATTCTTTGTGCCCAGCATCATCTTGAATGGAGGTGGAGGAAGGACAAAGAGGTGCTGGTGCAGCCCCGTGGGAGGCCCAGTGGGGGCCACAGTGAGGTGGCTAAAACCTAAAGCTCAGTAGGAGGAAAAACCTAGGAGATCACAGGACACGATGACAAACTTGGCTTTGAAAGGAGTCTTTTAATGAAGGAACACAAAGGGCAATAAACATAAGCACCCCTGCAGAAGTGCAGTTTATTTTTGTAAGAATCCTAGACAAGTCTATTTCAGGGTTTCTAAGACAAGGATGGAATCCTCTGCTCTCTCCTATCATCTCAGCATCTTGCTCCCAGGCTCCACAGGAGGAATGCTAGTCTACTGATTCAGATATCTGGGGGCTTCTGCAGGCTTTTCTGGGCCGGTCTGGGTCACTGAGCCATCCATGACCCGGCTATGACATTGTTTTCATGAGGAAATGGATTACAGAAACAAAATAATCGACTTCTTAAGGACTCTGGAATAAACAAGTCGGAGACTGCGCAGTAGTCGGCTTCTTGTCCTCTGGAAGAACTTTAAACTCAATGGACTAAAAGCAAAAGATGAACAAACAAATTACTCAAACAGTCCGTTAAGAATGCCGTAGATGCTGGAAGCTCTTCTCTCCCCTCCCCTCCTTTCCTCACTTTCTCTCCCTCTTCCTTTTCCTTCTAGACATGCCAGCCACTGTGTTTAGGTCTAAAGGAATGAGCATGGCTTTCGTTTTGTTTTCTTTTGTTTTGCTTGCCATGTTAATAAATCTGGATTATAATAAAAATATCAGAGAGAACACACTGAAAGATGAATTTTGTACCAGGAGAACTCCTATACAAGATGTATGATTTTCCCTAGAAGAGCTGACTTCAATATGTACTTTTTGTTCAGTTAGACGTCCTAGGGGCTATTCAAAATCTAGGAAATGGTTTTTTGTGTTGACATTGAAACTTTTCTTTATGACAAACACAAAGTACTGCTTTTCCATGTAATGGACATGGGTAAGAATTTACCATTTTCTGAATCCTTGTAACATCAATACTGTTCTTACATTATCTTGAGTAGATGTTTTGTAGTCAAAATACAAAGCAAAGTACATTACCAATATAATGTCAAGTGGATTAGAGGGATTTTTTTTTTGTCTTTTCTGAAAGACAGATCTTTCTGAGAAAGTCTTTCCTGAAAGACTTAGATCTTCCAGATCTAAATGTGATCTTGTGCAAGTTAACTCTCCAGACTGTTTCCTCAACCCTAAAATGGAGGTAAGCGCAAGCTTGTGGTGAGGATGAAGTGAGGAGTACACTAAACACTTGGCATGGTCCCTCCCAGCAAGAACTCAATTCAAGTTTTGCTGTTATTGTTAGTTATAGACAAGTGTTAGACAAGGGTGTACTTTGTTTGCATTTGCTCACACGTCACCAGATAATCAGAAGTAGGCATTGGTCTCAATCATCTTGACAGAATGAAATAATTTCCTTTGGGTCTTCTTTGGTTGTCTACAGAGCAAAGGACACAGACCAGAGCAGAGATGTGCCCTGAAGCCCCGTGTCCAGTTGGTCCAGCCTCCCTACCCAAACGTTTCCAATAACGAGTCAGAAGTATAGCGCCTTAGGCCGAAATTAAAGAATTGCTTTTGTTCTTCTCTTCTATAGCTACAATATCAAAGAATTTCCAGTATCCTTTTAAACCAAGATTAATTCTGACTCTGGGAGCAACGCGATATAAATTACAATACAAAACAGCACAGCGTAGCATAGAGAGCTCAAAAGAAAGCGATGGGAGAACCTGGACCTTTAGCTCCCTAAACTTGGGCAGCTCGCCTTTCCTCTCTGGGCCTCAGTTTCCCCATTCATAAAAAGAACCCGGTTGTACTAGAACTGTTGCCCCAAAGCCAGAGGCTCATCCCGCTCCCAACTCAACCCCCCCCCAAAAAAACCCCCATGTATGTCCTTTAACACTAAAGGGAAAAACAAGCGGGCGTGAACACCGAACCCGGGCCGGTACCCGGAAGCCAGGAGCGCGCACCACCCACGCGGCCCGGAGGGACGGGGAGGCGGCGATGGGAGCAGAAGCCGGAGCGGCCCCCCCCGCCCCCGCCAGCGTGCGCACGCCGCCCCGCCCCGCCCCAGTCGTCGCCCCACCCGCTCGCGGCCGCGCGCAACAGGCCGAGCCCGGTGAGTGGAGCGACGTCTGCCCGCTTTCCCGCGCCGCCGTTTGCGGGGTCGTGAGCGCCCTCCCGGCGCCAGAGCGCGGGTGGGGGTAGGGCCTAGGGGGAGACCTGAGAGCCGAGCCCCGGGGAGCCTCGCGGGCCCGGGCTGGCGGGCGCTGGCGCTTTCGGGACCGGGGACGCGCGCTGACGCGCTCCGTGATTCCGGGGACCGGGGCAGGGAGGACACGCCGGGTCTGTTGCTGCCCGGATGGAGGGGTAGGGTCACGAGTGACCCGGGCACCGAGAGTGGCCCCCGTGAGCTGCCGGTGGCCTGGAGACTGGGACGAGCGCTCGGAAAGTTTGGAGGCTCGGTAGGGAGGGTGACGCTCGCCCTGGCCCCGGCCGGAGAGCGCGGCCTCCACGTGGGCTGTGCTGCTGGCGTCAGGTCGGGCCTAGGAGACAGGCTTTGCGGTTGGGGAAGCTGCGGGCAGGGCCGCTGCGGCCCTCTTGCCCCGCCCTGACTTGAAAATTCCAGCTCCCGCTTGCAGGGCACTGAGCAAGTGTGACTAGCCTGGCAGCCTGACAGTGGGTCGTCCAACAGGTTAGGAAGGCCAGGTGGTTCGCTGTGTTTTCAGGAAGCAGGGGCCTGGGAGTCCCAGGATGTGATTAGTCCACTAATTAGCTGTAAATTCGGCGCCAGGCCATTGATTTCACTGGGCTCGCGTTTAAGTGGAGGAGCCGGATTTTCCCAGCCTCTGCCACAACCTCGTGGGTGGATGGTTTTACCTTTCTGGCCTCATCCTTTGTAACGTCGTGGGTCACCAAAATACATGAATGTGGTATAATCCATTTTCTCTTTAAAATACAACTAAGAAGATAACTGCTAATCATAGCTTTAGGTCAGCAGGAGAACCAGTTTTCCCTCTGGATAAACATTTCTGTTGGGCAAAAAAAAAATGTTTTGGGTCAGCGTAGGCGACTTCCTTACAGGTAATATTTCTATCCTGGATGTGCGTTTAATTGAGCTGAATTTGACTATCATTCTCTATGTGAATAGATCTAAAATTCCTGTGGAGAATTTACTAGGTTAATGCGGTTTTCTAGGTCCCAGCTACCAATAGGCTTGATATGGGGCCCAGATGTGTATGTGAACAAGTGTTCTTGGTGACTACCCTTTAAAAACACTGCCCTGAAGATTATAAAGACACACCTCCCACCCCTGGGTGGTAGTAACCACTGAGGGCTGATGTGCCATTCAAATGACGGTGCAGTTGACTACCCTGGCTACAATTGCCATCAGAATAATCCCCACTGAATAAACTTTCTTTTCCCCCAATCTGTTTTGTGTAAGGGTTTGAGGATTTTTCTCTAAAATTATATACAAAACATGAAAAAGGAAAATTCAGCAAACGTTTCTTGGGGAACCATGTGCCATATTCTGTGCTAGGCTCTGGGAATGTGCAGATAGCCGTTGCCCTCAAGAAGCTGTGTTGACTTCTTGTCAGTAACTATTACTAAGGAAAGAAGGTTAGGACACTTAAAAATATAAAGGCTCTGTCTGTATTTGTTTGCTGTGGAATGGTTATCAGTATTGATTTTATTGTCGAGTTCATACTTTAAAGTTTAGTTTTTCTGTGGATGGCTAGTACAATATGAACTGAGTTTTGATTTAATCTTTTTATACTTTAATGTTTATAATCAACTCAGATTAGAAACATTTGTTTTTATTTTAAAAATTGAAATGTAATTGATACGTAACAGTTTCAGGTATATAACATTTGCTGTTTGTGTACATTAAGTGATATGAATTGCTTTTTTTTTTTTTTAAGATTTTTATTTATTTGAGAGAGAGAGTGAGCAAGAGAGGGGAGAGCACAAGTCAGGGGCAGAGCAGAGGGAGAAGGAGGAGCAGACTGCCCACGGAGCAGGGAGCCCGCTGTGGGACTGGATCCCAGGACCCTGGGATCATGACCTGAGCTGAAGGCTGCTGCTTAACGGACTGAGCCACCCAGGCACCCCCCAATTGCTTTTTTAAACTTTTTTTTTTTCTGTAGCTGAATAAAAATATTTACTCAACTTCTGTTTGGGTGGTCTGTGAGGTTAATGGTCAGGCTTATATTGGCTTTACTTTTCTAGATAAAGGTTTTTTTCTTGTTTACTATATTTTTGAGATTCTAAGATAGGCTTTTTTACTTTTTCTGAAATTGTGATGCATCTTAAGATTTTTACATGTTTAATGTGGTAGGGTATGTCATCTCTTCTCCCCTCCACCCCCAAAAGCTGTTAAAAAGAATGGTTGTCTTACAGTGTGTTAGTGTGAAAATCAGAGAAATAGTATATTTGCCCAGTAACCTCTAAGCCAGTTTCCAATTAACTGAGCCTCAAATAATTTCAATATGAATGTAGAGAAACAAGAAATGATGTAACTTTTGGCAGTATAAGTAGTGAAATTTATATTCTCACAAAAGCATTTGTTATGCAGTGCTGGGTTTATGTTATTAGTGATTGTAGATGGGAAAAATGCTTTAAGTAATTTTATTTTGGCTTACGTATCTTGTGCACTTTGTTTAACCACACTTCCTGGTGAATGTGCTCATGCTGTATTTATAAATTGTGCTTAAAGAAAAGCCTTTCATTGGCATCTTCCTGCTGTCCACATCCCTTAAATAAATTTTAAACTGACCAGTTGTGAGAGATAAGAGATGTATGGCTTAATATGAAATTACTTTTTCATTATAGGGTACCTTAATGATACAAACCCAATTTAACACTTTTTAAAAATTGGGAGCAATGTGTTGGGGGTCTTTAAGACCATCCCTAGGTTCAGTGATTTGCTGGGACTCACAGCTGATTTATTATAGCAGTAGACTAGTGCTTAATTGGCCCAGCAACTAGTTGTGACAATACGTGTGAAATGTTGCCAACCAGGGAAGCTCATCAGACACTTCAGAACTCAGGGTTTTTATTGGGGGCTGACCATGCAGGCATCCTCTGCCTGGCACCAAGCCCCAACCAAAATTCCAGACTCCCAGAAGGAAAACAGGTGGTCATTATAAACCATAGTGCGCAAACAGTTTAGGCACAGTGAGTCTCTCTTATCCGTTACAGGTGGTGGGAGTGCTCCTGAAATTTAGGTTCTCAGACAATAGCCGTACACAGGGCCTTTTGAAGGACAGGCCTCCTCACTAGCTGTGCTCTTGACTGAATCTCTTCAGATCTCCTTGTTTCTAACCGCATCTGGGTTCCAAGGATTGGCAGTACTTTGTCTCACTGAAGCCTTGATGCTCTAGTTGAGAAATCAAACTGGTCTGGGAAACTTAAGAGGAATAGGGAACGTTTTCAGAAAATGTGACTTATGGATGGCATATCCTAAAACACCGAAGTTTGTTTTGTTTAGTTTCCTAAGCTTAAGCCCTTACTCCTCCAATGCAAGCTTTTGGTGTCGATTGGTATTCGTTTCCCACCTCAGCCCTGTGTTTTCCTATCAAAAGCACTTGATCTGAGCTGTTCATGGGTACAAAGTTTAGAAGCGATGTTTCCACTTCCTAAATTGTTCAACTTACATTTGGGTTGCAGTCATTTATAAATTAGTTGTTGCAGTGTGTAACACGTATTCCAGGGTACTTTCTTGCCAGGCCAGACCACTAATTCTACTTAATCCACTGTGTAGCTGAAATACCCCTTAGTTAATAACAAAAGAGCAGAAAACCGGGTTCTTACAGTCCTGCTAGCCCTACAAAACAGAAAACCATAACATCTGTTAGTTACTGGACTCTGGGACAAATAGGCTTTTATAAGCATAATGGTTCTTAGCCTTTTTTGGGGGGCCAGGGACTCCTTTAAGAATCGAGTGAGAGCAATGTGCCTACCCCCCAAATCTATAGATATACATACACTTTGAAATAGAATCTTGCAGTTTCTAGAAATTCATGTAATTTGAAATATTCTTGAGCCCCAGGTGAAGGACAGCTGCACTGTAAGTGTGGCAGTAGTATGCTTTGGGGGCAGTTCTGAGAGAGGCTAAGCGATGCTGGGGAGTTGTCGCTCCTCAGATGTGGGCCGGGGACCAACAGCAGCATTGTTACTTGGGAGCTTGTTAGAAATGCAGAATCTCAGCCCTGCCTCGGATCTAGATGCCCAGGTGATGGATGGGTGTGCATGTTAAGGTTGGGGGGAGCGCTGTGTCTGAGGTTGCTGATGTTGGTATTTTATTGTATATTATTTTAGTTTAAAAGTTAAAGCTTTTTAAAGATGGGATATAAGTATCTTTAGCTTTTACTTTGCAGCCTCTTAACTGGTTTGGTTTTTTTTTTTAATGGGGGTGGGGTTTCCGATAAAGTAGCTATTTTCAGGAGTAAGCTGCGAATCAAAAGTGAGGAGGTTCATGTGGTGAGGAAGAGGCTTGGGAGCAGGCAGCTTCTCGCTCCAGCCACCAGGTGCGCAGGGCACGTTGGCCGCCTTTCTGCACAGCCCGTGGGGGCAGTGCTGTGCCCCGGAGCACTGGTGGTGGGCCCCTGTTGGTAGTTCTTGAGGCAAGTGTTTGTAACTCAAGAGTACATCTAATTAGGTTTGGGACCTGGTGCTGACGCCAAATTCAGGATTTTCGACTTCTGTGTCAATGGCCACCGGCTAAAATGTGACCAGGAACTGCCATGATCGCAGAACCATTCATTTGGGATCATTATACCGCCTAATAAACAACGAATTTCACGACTTAGTGCTTATGTGCAAGAAAAACATGCTTTCCTTTAGATGGATATGTAATCTGAGTGGTGGTTGAGGCTGAATCCTATCTTGGAAGGTGTGGTGTTGGCTGGAGGCTCGGTCACATCCTGAAGGAGATGGCGTTGACTTCCAAGTTCTCCTGAAGGGGTACTGGCCTCGCAAGCTGTGTGTACGTGATCTGCTGACAGAACACTGGTAATCCTGGTAAACCTAACCACGTGTGTGCTTTGTTCTCCAGTAGGTCCGCTTCCTCACTGCTCTGTCTTGAGGACAGAAGGATGCCGAAGAAAGCAAAGCCCACGGGGAAGGGGAAGGAAGAGGGATCTGTTCCCTGTAAGCAGCTGAAGATGGAGGCAACTGGTGGACCCCCCTCCGCTTTGAATTTTGAAAGCCCTGGTGATCTCTTTGAAAGTTTAATCTCGCCCATCAAGACAGAGACTTTTTTCAGGGAATTCTGGGAGAAGCAGCCCCTTCTCCTTCAGAGAGATGACCCTGCAGTGGCCACATATTACCAGTCCCTGTTCAGGCTGTCAGATCTAAAGAGTCTCTGCAGCCGGGGTATGTACTATGGAAGAGACATAAATGTCTGCCGCTGTGTCAACGGGAAAAAGAAGGTTTTAAATAAAGATGGCAAGGTGCACTTCCTTCAGCTGAGGAAAGATTTTGACCAGAAAAGGGCAACAATTCAGTTTCACCAACCTCAGAGATTTAAGGTAACAGGTTCTCCCCATGACAGAATCATTTTATGGGTTAAAGTGCTAACATTTGGCCACAGGTCAGCCTAGGGATGAACCTGTGATGATGAACGTCCTGCCAGTTTGAGAGGAGGTACCACCTGTTGGCTCTTTAAATGCATCCCAGATTAGGAGATCCTGTGTTATCTTTTGGCTAAACTGTTAGGATCGCCCAGCAACTCTGGGGGACATGATCATCACACTGCAGAAACTATATTGCAAGTTTATAAATTAACATTAAACCTCCAGGAGCATATTCTGTGGGGTGGTTTATGTTTTGGTGTATGGTAGACCTTTCTAGTTGGTTTGTCCTGTCATTATAATTTAAGGCATGATAGCGTCAGGGTGATCATTTTCTTCTTGAAGTTGCTTCCCTTTACTACTTACATCGAGCTAAGTAGAGGCTTCAAAGCTGTGACCAGATCAAGTACCAGATGCATGTTTAAGAAAGAGACTTTACCCTTATTAACAGCCGCCAGGTAGCTTTGAGGGTGTGGGTCCTGGAACTGCTCCCAGGGAGGCAGTCATAGGTGGAAGGTAACTTTGATTTGCAAGTCTGGGAGAGTAGCTCACTTTTTATTTATTCTATATCAGTGCTTAACATTCAAGAAATAATTAGCCTCCTCTCTGTTCAGTTTCTGCTTCATAAATGCAGTCTTAGCTAATCTGCTTTTGTAGAGGTTTGAGATCTTTACATGACAAGTGGCCCAGAACAAATGAGGGTCTGTTCTCAGTTCAGAAATCCCCTTTCATGACCCATGGCTGAACCAAAATGGCAGCATGGGAGGAGGAGCAGGAGAGCGGTCCATGAGGTTCCATGGTGAGGATTCTGGCTGTGTAGTGGCTCCTGGGACTTTGTCCTCAGTTATCAGTAATGTTTCCTGTGGCTGAACTCCGTTGCTTTGGTAGAGCCCATTGGCCAAATCTAGCGAATGCCTTTTCCTCTCTTGTCTAAAGGATCTTGAACCTATTTGTGCTCTGGATAAAGTTAAGTACTCTTAGATGTTTCAGTTCAAGTCCTGATTCCAGATAGTCCATCTCATGCAGTCATAAGAAGTTGAAATGTTCCTGGAATGCCAACCTTTTGGCTCAAACACCCAAAAAGAATTATAAATAACTTGCCAGACCAAGTCATGATTTGAATTCAGGAATATGGACACCATGGTCTTCTCTCTGAGCTAGTCCTGACTCTTTTCTTGGCTAGAAGCAGCACTTTTTTTTTTTTTTTTAAGATTTTATTGATTTATTTGACATAGACACAGCAAGAGAGGGAACACAAGCAGCGGGAGTGGGAGAGGGAGAAGCCGGCTTCCCGCGGAGCAGGGAGCCCGATGCAGGGCTCGATCCCAGGACCCTGGGACCATGACCAAAGCCAAAGGCAGACGCTTAACAACTAAGCCACCCAGGCGCCCCGAAGCAGCACTTTTTTAAAAAGTGAGTTTTAGACACCTAATAACTATGAACATAAAAGGTCAATGAAGTTGATTATATGTAATTTGGTCACAAACCAGTAGAAAGTTATTATTTGGCATATGTGTGGTGTCCTTAGCAGCTGTCATTTCTGTACTTTAGAATCATCCTGGGCTTTTCCCTGTTCATCTCTTAAGTCCTGCACATTTCTCCTCTCTGATTCCAGGTAGCCAAGAATGTATTTCCTTTGCCCTGTTGACTCAGCTCTTTGGCCAGGTTTACAAAGGTGGGAAGAATGAGCTTTCTTGGCCTAAACTCAGCTCCCCGGCTAGACTGGGATGCACCCTGCTTTTTCTCTTTCCACCACTTGAGAGACCTATAGGAGTTCACCCTCTTACAGTGGATGCTGGGTTCTAAATAGTTTATTCTGAGGAGGTTTAGTGTTGTATGTGTGTTTAGGAATGTGCATATTAATATCAGGATAGAAAAAGTCGAGAGGCAGTTCATCACTGGCTAGGTTGAGAGACAGAGTAGATAGTGCCTTGTTTATTGGGTTTCAGAATGTGCACAAGTTCTTATTCTAGTTGGTTGGGAAGTGAATAAGGAGGTAATCAGGGAACCCTAAGTTGTTTCCCACCTTCTTTGGATAATCCATATGTCAAAGGTCTGGGTGAGTTTACCAAATACACGTGTTCACTTTTGAACCTTCTTTTTTTATTATTTATTTATTTGAGAGCATGAGCAGGGAGAGGGGCGGAGGAAGAGGGAGAAGCAGGCTCCCCGCTGAGCAAGGAGCCGGATCCCAGGAGCCCAAAATCATGCCCCGAGCTGAAGTCAGATGCTTAACCTACTGAGCCACCCAGGCACCCCACTTTGGAACCTCCTAACAGACATTCAAAATAGGGCATTCATTGTGGTCTCTATTTTACATGTGAAAAAAACTGGAGTTCAGAGCTATGGACCTTTTCCATAGCTGCTATAAGTAAGGACTTCTGACTCTAAATCTGAGGCATTTTCCTGCCATACTTTTAAAGATGTTAATTGAAATGTAGCAGGGCTTTGGCATGTTTGTTTTTGCCTTTCTTTAGGTGTACCCATGGGCTTCTGGTCCCAGAAGCAGTTGCATTCAGTTTTGATTCTTATGGGTAGGTCAGTGGAGAGAGGAGGTTGTACTCACCTAGGAAGAGGCTTCCACCTTCCCTTTTCACTGCTCTGGGGTCCTCATTGGCATCTCCAGACATAGTTGGGAATCCTGACTTAAAGAAGACAGGTTTTAAGAGCCTTGTTTGTGCCTAAGTCAGTGTTGGTGAAGCAGTAACACTTGTATACTGCCTTGCAATTTAAGTAAGTTTGCAGATAAGTTGTTTTATCAGTCTTAGTGGGGGAGTCCTCATTTTACAAATAAAGACGCTAAAGTCATTTAGTTTGTAACTACAACTTGGATTGAGGTGGTTTGACTTCCTATCTCTTTCTACCAGGCTATACTTGGTAGATTCAGAAGCTAAATGTCCAGGAGAAATGGAAAAATTATGCAATTGATCGACCCAGATGCTTGAGCTGGGAACCATAAAGTCACCCATATGGTCTTGAGATGCCTCTCAGGCCATCACAAGGAGAAGCCCTGGTTTTCTAATGGTTCCAGTTACAGTATAGATGTAATTACAGAGCCAGGTCCTGCTGGCCCTTCCCTGGTATAAATTAGGTGCTTTGGGAGCTCTCTTAATTCTTTGGAGCTATTCAGAAGCCATTAAATTATTCTTCCTCTGTTAAGTAGAACCCTTGATCTATAAATAGAGTAGCCCAGTCATCTTCCTAAAGATGTCTCCCAAAGCTTTTTTCATACTGACCTAATTCTTTCCCACTCGATACTTTTAATACTGTAGATCCTTTTTCAGTCAAATGGTAGGATTGACTCTCAAGCTGTGGTTATTGGTTGACTCACCAAATTTTTAAAAATACATTTGAATGTCTTGTGTGTGCCAGGCACTGTACATTCATATACTTGAGACTGAATGTCTTTAATATCCGTTAGTGTCCTCATAGGTGATTTGTGTTTTTTTTAAGATGATTCCTGAAGAGGCAGTACAGGGCCCGGGCTAAAGGGCACAGGCCGGGCTGCCTGGATTTCAGTGCTGGCTCCGTCATGTATTAGCCGTGTATTCTCATGCTTCGGTTTCCTCAGCTTGGAAACCGGACATTATGGTATTGCTCCCCTTATGAGACAGGGGTGTTGGGAGGGTTATAGAACCAGTATATGTAAAGCACTTAGACACAGGGCCTGGCGGACAAGAAGTGCTAATATCCGCCTGGCCTAATTGCTCCCTCCCCTCTCCTTATCCGCTTGGGAAAATCAGCATTCATATTCTCTCTCTCTCTTTCTCTCTCATGAACTACTGTAGAACTCTCCCTGCACACACACCCCCACCCCCATCCCTGCAAAAAAAAAAAAAACCTTGTTCTTTAACAAGTCTTTCCCACTTTAGTAGGGTGAACTAGGCACTAACTAATTGCCCAGCCAAAGCCAGGAGGCTTTTAATCCCCTTCCCCTTCCAGCACCCCATTGTACTTGGTCTCTCACAGCCCGTGCTGCTTCCAGGGTGCATCTCTGCCTCCCCTTCTCCCCCACCACCCTGCTCATCTCCCGCCTGCGCTGCTGCCTTAGTAGCTTCCCAACTGATGTCTCTTGCTTTTCTCCAGGCCACTCTCCACACAGTAACCAGAGTGAGCTGTAAAAAATGTACATTAGATCGTGTCATGGCCCTGCTTAAAATCCTGCGTGACTCCTGATTGCCTGCCTTGCCAGTTTCTCGGTTTTCTCTACTCTTCTGCACTAGGATGGAAGATTCTTGAGGGCAGAGGTGTTGGCTCTTTAACTGCTGAATTCTCAGGTATCTGGAACATAAGAGCTGTGCAGTAAAGACTGGCTAAGTGAATAAGAGCGTGTTCTTCCTCTTGTTTCTGACATTTTTCACCTCTTCTCCCACCTTCCTTCCTTCCTTTCTTTTTAAGGATGAGCTTTGGAGGATCCAGGAGAAGCTAGAATGCTACTTTGGCTCCTTGGTTGGCTCGAATGTATACATAACCCCTGCAGGATCCCAGGGCCTCCCACCCCATTATGACGATGTGGAGGTAAGAGGAAGAACACTGTTCTGCTCGGGTAAGGAGTCACTGCGAGTCTGCGTTAGGTGTTAGGGTTCACTTCAGCTCCCTGCGCTTCTTGCCGTGTGGTCCCGGAGATCTTGACCTCACCTAGATGTTGGGACAGGTGAATCCTGCCAAACTGGTTTCCTGCTCATTCTCAAAGGGGAGAGATGGTTTCTAACTTTACTAATATAAAGAGCTACACATTCCTATGAAACAGGTATTTATTGAATTTGTCTACAGAAAAGCGTGATTTGCTTTTTCTCTAATTTCACAATGTATGAGATTTAGTAAAGTGAGGTCACAAGTAATCCTTACATCTGCTTTCATTTTGTCCTTTTTTTGGAGCTGCCAAAAATAGATAATTTTTTCCATTTGTGAAAATCTTGGGGCAGCTTGAATGAAGGTCATGGTCTCACTTAGGCACTGGCACCTTGACAAGTGTTGATTCACTCTCACGTGGCTGCCAAACAAGTTAATTCTCTGGTGTGGGTAGTCTGTCATTTTCTTTTTATGCTAATGCAAGATTATGAACACAGAGTTATTAGTAAAAAGCCCCTTTGAAAGCAATTTCATACCAGTACATTTCCCAAAATTTTGTTTTTGCTATTATAATATTTTAAACAGAGCTTTAAAATATCTTTGGCTGAATGAAGAATGAAGAACTTGAAGTTTTCCTGTCTGCCAAGGATAATACTCAGGATTTTAGACCCTGAGGAATATCTGAAACTTGGCTTTTCCATCAGAGATTATGGGCTCGCAGCTGTCTGATAGCAGATTTAAAGGCAGGAGATGTGGGGATATAAAGAACCCAGTGAGGCTTTATTACCGTGAAGAGAATGAATATCCTTCCAGTATCAGGGTTCATGATTACCTGTTTTTAAAAGTGAAAACCAGCAGTGGCAACTTTCAAGTATAGGGTGAAATGCCTCACTAATCTCTCATTTTTATTTTTTATCTGAAATTGGTAATCCACCTGAGGTTTTGCCGGGCTAACCCTCTGGCAGCCCTGGGCCAGTTGTCAGGAAGCTCGCTGACACTCCTGGGCCCCGTGGCTTCCGTAGGTCTTCATCCTGCAGCTGGAAGGAGAGAAACACTGGCGTCTGTACCGCCCCACTGTGCCCCTGGCCCGGGGGTGCAGCGTGGAGTCCGAGGACAGGGTCGGGACGCCGGCGCTCGAGTTCACGCTGAAGGTACGGCACTTCCGTCGTGGCCGCGGCTCCTGACGCGGGGTCCGGTCTGGGGTTTAGTGTGTGTGCGGGGGTCCCCGTGGGTGAAAATGCAAGAGCATGCGCTCGGGCTGGCTGTCACTCACTAGCACGTGCAGCTTCTAAGGGAGACTTGGTGTTTGTACTGTCGAACCGAGCTGAGGGGACGTTAAGTTCATCTTCCAAACAAGCTGTCTCCAAATGTAATCCAAGTTCAACAGAAATGGATTGTGATTCCGTTGACCACTGACTTCTCTAGACCAGAAGTGGAAAGTTTGGCCTTGGGCAGCTTCACCAAATCTAAGCCAGCCGTCAGGACCGGGCTGTAGCTTGCCTAGGCAGAGCACAGTCAGGGACCCCTTAGTTTTTTTGTTGGGAAAATTCTAGCATGACCCACTTTCCTCCTGACTGTACAATAGACTTTCTCTGCACTCCCTTACCCCTGTGTATAGTCACCAAAAGAATAGTAATCGTCTTTTGTATATAGTAATTAAGGGCTCTTCCTCCAGGAAGCCAGCTGGCTTGAGCATGGTGACTGGTTGGCTGGCCCCTTGCTATAGAGAGTCTGTCTTTGAGCAGTTAGCCTGGATGCGACCACAGCCAATCCCTAGCAGGTGAGATTGCTGAGAAAAAAATCGTAGAGGGGTAAGAAGAGGTCCGTGGTTCACCTTTATATGTTGAATTAAGAAATAGCAGCTCAGATCATTCTAAAAATTCTACCAACCTGATGTACTTGCACATAGTTATTATTTTTGTGTTTCTTGTGTCTTGAACTTAATAATTAGTTATAATTACTCAATACTTTATGGCCCTTTCCTGATTTTAAAAACTTTGCCTGCTTGCCTGTGACTGGGAGAAACAATCTCCCTTTTTACGATGTGTGTTTATATTACAGGGGATTTAAATATATACAATCAATGTACCCTTCATTTTTTTTTTTTTAAGTTCTTGGTCAACGGTCAGCAAACTATGACCCATGGGCCAAAAATATGCCCTGCTACCTGTTTTGGTAAGTCAGGTTTAGTGGAACACAGCCACATCCATTCCTTTTTTGCTGTCTGGGGCTGCATTCACATCACACCCGCAGAGTTGGCTGGTTGCCACAGAGACCATGTGGCCCGCGAGCCACAATTATTTACTGTGGAGCCCTTCACGGAAAGAGTTCACCAACCCTTACTCTTGGTGAAGCATGTTTAATAGTCTCTTGGTTGATTATTTTTAGGCCAAAGACTAAGCTATCCACGGTCTCTGAGGCCAGGGCTGAGTTACCTAGCCTGACAACCGGCTACTTGCCGTGCCCAGGAACGTTGATCTTCCTAGTGGTCTTCAGGTGTAGGTGGTGTGGGTTCTGCGAGGTGGTGCCGGGAGACTGGGAGGAGATGGGATGATACCCATTAATCACACCCATCCTATCTCAGTTCATTAAGAGCAGCCCTGAGTCTCCTGGGAGGAGAAAGACCAGCATTGTGTACCGTGGGTTTTCTTCCAAGTTGCACATCTGTATACTTGTGGGTTTTAAATTGGTGAAGCTCTTCAAATGAAATCTTGTGTAAATGCCCAGTGTATGAAACAGAAAAGCTGAGTCACTCTGGGGGGGGTGGGCATAAAGGCCACAGTGAGGGTCACCAAACCCGAGGTCTTGGGATGAAGACCCCTCCTGCAGTGGGAACACCACTCTGGTTTGGGGATCTGACACACCTGGGTTTGAATTGAGCTGCTGTCCCTTAAGAGCTGCGCATTCTTGGGCAAGTTATTTATCTCAGTCTCAGTTTCTCCTTTACTGCAAAGGAGACCATAATATTTACCTTGTAGTTTGTAAGAATTGAAAAATATGTTTTTGTTGCCTCCTTTGCAATGAAACTCCTTGGAAGAGATGGCTCTATGTCAATATATTTATTGCTGCTTATCAAATTCCCACAAATTCAGTGGCTTAAAACAACACAGATTTATTAACTTATAGTTCTGCAGTTCAGCAGTCCAAAAGGGATTTGGTTTCACTTGGCTGAAATCAGGTGTTGGCAAGACTGAGTTCCTTCCAGGGGCTCTAGGGGAAAATCCATTTCCATGCTTTTTCCAGCTTCCAGAGGCCTCCTGCATTCCTTGGCTCACAGCCCCTCCATCTGCCAGGCCAGCAACGTAGAGCCTAGTCTTTCTCCCGCTGCCATCTCTATGGTTCTCTCTTGCTGTACCCTCTTCCACTTTTAAGGATCCTTGTAATTACATTGTCCCTGCCTGGATAATCCGGAATAATTTCCCTGTCAGCGCCTTAATTGGCCTTGTCCGTGTGCCCTAAATACTTATAGGTGCCTGGGGTTAGGACGTAGACGACTTCAGGGACCCAGTCACTGGTCTTCTCTCCTGCTCTTGGGCACTCCTCCCCACAGGATTTCCTCCCCACCATTCCTCCAGAACCATTCTCCCCCAGGTTACCGGGCAATCCATGTTGTCAAGTACAATGCTTACCTTCAAGTCCGCATCTCAGCAGCCCCCTTTCAGCCTTGTTGGACACAGTGGGTCACTCCTACCTTCTGCTCTGGGCTTCCAGGACGCCTCCCTCTCTTCTCTTTCCCACCTACTGGCTGTTCTTCCTCATCCTCCTTTGCTGTTTTGTCCTCAGTCTTTGTGTCTCTGAAAGTTAGGGATCAGGGATTATTTCCTGGACCTCTTTCCTCAATCCACACCCACTCCCATGGTTTTAAATTTCCTCTAGACTGACCTACTTTCAGTGCTGTGTTCAGTCTCTAGCCCACATCTCTAAACTCTAGACTTATATCCAGCTGTCTATTTAATGTCTCCACTAAAAGGATAAAAGGTACTGCCAGTTTAATATTCTGCAAAGCAAAGTCCCATTACCCACCCTGTCCCCAGCCTCCTTCCCTGTAAATGCCTCACCATTTTCCTGTTTGTTCAGGACAAAACCCTTGGATATGGATCTATACAAAAGCCTCCTATTTGGTATCCCTATCGCAGACTTTTCTGACATAATGATCATAATGATCCTTTTGCGATCCATTGAACCCTTTGCCCAGACCTCCAGTGGTCTTCTTTTAAATCCAAAATAAAAGCCAAAGTCCTTAAAACAGCCCAGAAGGCCCTGGAATCTGGCCCCTCTGCTGCCTTCTCACTTCATCTCCCATCATTTCCACCCTCACTACTCTCCTGCCACATTGACCAATGCTTTTCAAAGGTGCCAAGCACATTTTCAACCTCAGGACCTCTGTACTGCTCTTCCCTCTGCCTGGAATCCTTTCTGCCCAGGTAGTCCCGTGGCTGGCTTGCTCATTTCCTAGAGTCTTAACTGAAATGTCATTGTAGCGGAGTGAGGTTTCAGTGCCCATCCTGGATAAAAATGGCACCTCTTACCCCAGGCACACCCTGCCCGCCACATCCCCATGTGCATCATTCCTCTCCTTCTGCTTCTTTTGCTTTCACTGCATTTACCACCACTTGACCTTATTTATTTACTGCTTTATTTTATCTGCCTTGCTCCAATAGAATGTTTTTATGGTATCCGTTGTCTTTTCTTTCTTCTCAAATGTTTGCTCTTTGTCTCAAATGAACTACAAAAGGGCAGACCTTGTTTTGTTCAATGCTCTATCCCCAGTGCCGACCTAGCATGGTGCCTGGCGCGGGAGGAGGATGGAGATTGGTTAATTAAATGTTTGTGGTATGAATGAATGAATGAAGGTCTCATTCAGAGGGGTGGCTCAGAGACACTCAGCAAGTGATAGCTATAATTGTGAATAAAGCATTTGCTTGAGGTAGTAATTTCCCTGTCAGTTTGGTGTCATTCAGGGTGAATGAGCCACCAGAATCGTTCTTATGAATATATTTAATTGTATATTGTTTCTTGCTTTAAGGAAAATCTCAACATTGAGAAAAGGTTGGGTTTTTTTGGTTTGTTTAATCTATTTCTTGAGCTGCCCCTCGAGGGCCCACCCTCTTAAACAGTGATCCAGACTGCTTCTCGTGGTTGCAGTTTTTTGGGTTTTTCATCTGGTTGGGATTAGGGAGGATGTAGCTTCAGGAATGATTTACGAAGGATACTTCCGTCCCCTGGCTTGGGCAAGACCTGGAACAGGGTAGAGGAGGTTTACCTGCGCAAGAGAATGACTGATCTCCAGTTACATCTAGTTTTTAGGTTCAAGTGAAGGGTTAAATGGTTTTTTATCTGTTCATCCAAACATTCATTGAGCCTCTGTTGTACACCTGATGCCTTGGTAGTTTAGGCCCTGGGGAGTACATGATGGACCTTGACCCTGCCTGGAAGAGCTCACCAACCTGCTGGTGGAAGGGGGGTGAGGAGGGGCAGGTAGAAGAGTAATTATAGTACAACCACGTGCCTGTCACGGCTCCAAGAGCTCTGGAGATGGCATCTCCTTTAATCGTGAAAGTAAGTCTGAATTTTGGGCCATTTGCCTCCGTTTTAGCAGTGAAAGAACTGAGGTTTCGGGGGGGTTCAGTAATTTCCTGGGGTCACTAGCCAGTAAGTGGCAACGTCTGTTTGACTCTAAAGCTCCTACTGTTCACCACTGCCCCATTTGAAGGGTGGAGAGGGAGGGTGCAGGCTCCCCAGGGTGTCACCTAGATCGGGGCGGGACAGTTTCAGGGGCACCTGCTCTCAGCTTGTGAAGAAAGAAAATGACTTCAGGTACTAAAACCCTCTCCAGGATTGGGGTTCACAGTGACAGGCTCACAGGCATGGTGAAGCTAGACTAGTGGGACCCCAGGAGCCCAGCATACAGACCACCTCAGGAATCATGAAGTAGAACGTTTCTAGAATGGAAAACTGAAACTCAGAGCCTATTTTTGTCTCTTTAAGACATAGAGGACTGAGAAGACATCCTCCTTATTAACTCCCTTCTCCCATTTTTTTTCCTTTCTTTAGCCGGGTGATTTCCTGTACTTTCCCAGAGGGACCATTCATCAAGCGGACACTCCTCCAGGGCTGGCCCACTCTACTCACGTGACCATCAGCACCTACCAGAACAAGTAAACACTCTCCTCCCAGCCTTGCATCCCAGTGAAGCTCAAGCTGTGTCCCATGGCAACCGCTTGCAGAAGGGAATGAGGGAGTTGGCCTGCTGTCCTGCTTATGCAACCTCAGGGGTTTCGTTTAGGCGCCCTTGCTAACTTCCGATTCCTTTAGAGTCCTGTCCATGCTGTTGGCCCATCTGGGGTTCCTCCTGCGAACGTCATGAGCCAGACTGTATAGAAAATGGGAGTTGCCCGGTGAGGGCTCCATAGTTTGGGAAGAAAGAACCACACCTATGCCCGGCTGGACTTGCAGTCTCTCTCTTTTTAACATTTTTTTATTGCAGTAAAATATTTATAACATAGAATATGCCACCTTAACCATTTTTACTGTACAATTTGGTGACATTAATTATGTTCACACTATTGTGCAACCGTCACCACTGTTTCCAACACATTTTCGTCACCCCGCACAGAAACTGTGTCCATTGAAACATCCGGATCTCTTGTAAGGTTTCCACTGTTCATACAAGTTCACGAAATTGAGTAGGAAAGGAAGTCTGAAACAGTGAGACCTAAAAGCACATGTGCTGAAAACCATTCTGATTAAAACTGTGTTCCATTTCGGTGCGTGGCGCCTCCCAGGCCCTGGGCGGCAGCGGCCTCCCTGTGGATCCTTAACAACGACGACCTTGCTAGCCCCGGGCACGTTCACACTGCCAGCTGTCAATGCCTGGCAGCTTGCAGGCACCAGAGCCTGTGCAGTGGCTGGGAATGTGGGCCTGGGACTGAACTTGCACCCTGGAGGTGGTGGTAGGAGGGGAGACGGATCAGGAGATAGCAGTCGGATAACTTCCATCGTGGGTTTGTAGAGGAGACTCCTGAGGAGCGCAGAGGAATGCACTGAGCCAACCTGGGGCGTCAGGGAAGGCTTCAGAAATGACTTGACACCCAGGCTGAGTGAGTCTTAAAGGGTGAGTAAGTAGAGTGGGTCAGATGGTCAGAGTAGGAGAGGCATTCCAGCCCCAGTGGACAGCAGGGCCCCTCCTACATTCAAAGCCATAACTTGCAAAACAAGTTGGTAAGCATGACTTCTGCTTCCTCCTCTGGCGTTTCTGGGTGAAATGAGCCCCTGTGTTTAAGAGGCTGACCTTAAAACTGAAACTCAGTTTTAGAGGAACTAGGTGGAGCCTTGCCTACAGTTAGGGTAGTCCTTGCCCACAAGCAGACCAGAGCTTGTATTCTTCCTTTATGAAAAATGCTTTTCTCATGGTGGCTAGGCAGATTCCTTGCATAGCCACAGGGAGGCTGGAACCAGAAGTTCCCAGTGGGTGCCGAGCAGCTCTGGGCCTTGGCAGCCAGTTTGGCCCTGTGGGTGTCCATGTAGCTTCTGGTATCCTGCCGTTAATGTGACTCAGCTATTTCCCCTTTCTGAGATTCTCTGTCTTTTGCATTCACTTAATGCCCCTAACTGGTTTTCTAGTAATTGGTTTTTCATGCACTTATTTTCCTTCCTCACCTTCTGTTTACTCATAACATTGACTCATCCATAAGTCGTCATCAGTTACTTGTCTGACCTCCCTTTATCTCACTAGACCTAATAGCTTCTACTTCTGCTAAACTCTTTCCCAATCCCAAGAGTGAAGATCTGGTGGGCTGCCCTTGGGTCCTACCCGTGCCTTCTCTGGTCAGCTGGAGAGGTGGACGGGCGCCGTGATTGCGGAGTCTCAGGTCAGACTCTGACCTGTGCCCTTATCTGTGGTGCTGGAGCTAGAAGGGGACATATTGGAACTCAGGAACCATTGCTCCCCAGAGATGTCCCCGTGCTGTGGGCCTGGTACCCCTGAAGGCACTGGCACGGTGAGGATTTGGGGCCTTTTCCTAACACCTCCCAAGGGGACATTGTTGGGAACGTCTGGGATCTGGGTGTGGGACAGCAGCAGGTTGATTTGGCTGTTTTACCAAAGTGAACCCCTCAAGAGATATTAATCTCAAATTTTGGTCCAAGATCCATTCTGACTCTAACCAGAACACAGAGGTCGGTTTAACTGCAATGCCATCTCTCCGTGAGCTACTGCCGCACGATTTCACCCATGACCCTGCAAAAGAAGAGCTTGTTTTTGTGCTGGTAAAAGAGCTCCAGGAGAAGGTTCATTCAATCAGATGTGAGGTTGGGTGTAACATTAAGTTGCAAAGTGTGAGGACACCAAATGGTAGACGTCTTAGGGAAAGTGTCGCTGATGTGACTTTTGTCTTCGGACGCTTTTTCAGAAGGGAAGCATAAAAGTGTTAATTTTGCTTACTGAGTGAGCAAAAGTCATACTGTGAATTCCCATTTTTGCACATAGCCAGCAATTCGAAATCTGCTGGTGACACTGAGGGAAAATTTTAAACAGCTAGAAATATTGAAAGAGAGCAACCCCACAGAGCGTTTCTTACAGTGGCACACATTTAGGGCGAGCCAATTGTAAATGCCCCAAAGTACAGGTAATTGAACACTGATGCGCATCCCTAGACGTTATTTTTGGCCACTGGATTCCACCCTTCTAAGCACTGCTAGAGTTTTAACAAGTTGCAAATCGATTGTTCTGAAATTGTTGATGTTGGATATTTCACTGAGGAAGAGTGCCCCTCTTTTATAAGGGAAAAAGGAAAATGTGTTACAGTTCAGATAATTACACAGTCCAGGGATTTTACTGTTACCCTAAATGTATTTCTTTTTGAATTTTTGAACATAAACTATTTTTTAGGTTCTATGATTGTTAAAATTTCCTACAGAGCTCCTCTCATAGACACTTGTGTTACAATTGAAAACATTAAAAAATAAATTGGGCCCTTGAACTTCCCACTTTACACCTGTATAGGATTGTGTGGTATCTTTTAAGAGAAGTCGTGAGTAAAGCCTAGCTTCCTACCTTTTACCTTTCCACGTGAGTGTTTGGGAAAGGGGAGGGGAGAAGCAGTGTGATTGATGAAGGCCTTCAAGTTTTTTTTGTGCTGAGTAATGTCACATTAATGGAACGCACAGTGCCTGGGGAGTTGGAATGTAGTTTGTAGCTTCGGGATTTACTAAGTAATCAGTGGTTTATGTAGATTCTGTGGGTGTTCACGATTTTCTTTCTTGGTGCATGTTCCAGTTCGTGGGGAGATTTCCTTTTGGACACTATTTCGGGGCTTGTATTTGACACTGCAAAGGAAGATCTGGAGTTCCGGGCTGGCATACCCCGGCAGCTGCTCCTGGTAAGGAGTAAAGGCTTGGGGGTCCGGGGGTGGGGCGGGGACAGTGGCAGCCCAGACCAGCGGAAGCTGTGGCCTGCCTCCTAGGCACCCCAGGATCCTTCTTCATGCCAGAGTCAAGCCCAGCTCCTGGGCTGCGTGCAGCGCTGCATGCTTTGCAGGGGAACGTGGTGCTGCACGATCCATGGGCCCTGAAGAGCTGAGGCTGTTGCGCAGGCAGCCCCTCTTCCCGCACAGCGAAGGCAGGGTGGGAACGCTGGCTGAGGAAGTGGCTGAATCACTGAGGCACGTGGCCCAGAGAGCCGCAGATTCGGCCACAGGCTTACGCAGGAGAGACCCGCTGGAGATGCTGGCTGGTTATGCTCTGCGTACTGCTCTGGACACCAGGACCTGCGCGGGAAGTCCTGCTGGAGTTCGGGCCAGGACTCACTTCGGGGTTTCCAGCAGGTGGACGCCACGGCTGTTGCGACAAGAAAGTTAAGTGGCTTTCTGAGGACCCTTGCCGACCGGCTGGAGGGCACCAAAGAGCTGCTTTCAGCTGACATGAAGAAGGATTTTGTTATGAACAGACTCCCGCCTTACTATATGGGAGACCAAGCCGAGCTTTCAACGCCAGGTGGGATATTTTGAAGCTTTCCTGGATGGGCTCCTCTTTGTGCAGATGGAAAGAAAGAAGCATTTTAGAATTAAGGTGGACCTAGATCTATCTTTAGCATGTTATGTTTGGATGAGACATGCTGTAGCTTTAGGGATCCTGCGTCTCGCAAGTCTTTTGCAAAGAACTTGTGTCCCAGCTTGATGCGGGAGAAAGAACCTTGTGATTGTGGGTGAGAAGTATGTATATTTATGGACACTCTGGTATTCTCCATCTTCAGGAAGTTCTAAGAACTTGAACACTGAAATAATTCAACAAGATTAACTCAGGGATGGGTTAAAATGTTGCCATCAGCAGGTGAAACGTAAGAATGCCCAGGGTTGCCACTAACCTGCTCCGAGTCCCAAGTGACTATTCTGTGACTGGTTTAGGCTGTAAATGACCTAACACTTGGATAGATGGTGATAGCAGACCATCAGTACAACACTCCTGCAGTGGGACAAATGAATTTAGGACTTGTTGCAACAGGGAAGACCACACACTGCTGAGAGTTGTGGGGCATCTCAGTAAAAGAGCGTTGGAAGGATTCGGGCTTGAGTTACGTGATTTTTCAGGAGGGTTAAGAAAGCAGGGCTTTGTTCTGGGTTGGACGCTGTCAGAAAATAAGGGGTGTGATTGGGTCTCCTGTAGGCAAGAGTGAAATGAGGCTGAGGTTGCAATTAGTAAGGCAGGGGCAGACTCTCAAATCAGCAGGATAGGGACGTTTGGTCATTTTTGAGGTTTGGATAGTGTTCTGGCTTTTGCCTGAGTTCTGACACGCTGTTGGAGTGGTCTTGTTTTCGCCTTGCCCTCTCACAGAGTGGCCTGGTTGAATGTTGGTGTTCTGTGGAATCGTCTGTGTTCAACAGGAGAACACCGAGACACGGCCGTGGGTGCCAGGCCAGCTCTCCGGCTGCCTTTCTCCTCCTCTGTAGGGTTGAGAGGACTATTTTTACTAACGTTTATAAATGCCTTCTTTCTCATGGTTGAGACCCACTGAAATAAGACAATCTATAAGGTTGCCTTTAACATTGATTCTGCTTATAATTTTAGTATCATCTTTGGGGGAAGTTTGGAACTTGTTTTTGCACCTATTCAAAATAGCAAATTTTTACCAGCATGTATTTCAGTCTTTAGTGGAACAGTTTTCAGAGTATCCGCTTATGGCACAGGATATCTTACCTGAACTCTTGTCTTAGCCATTAGAGTCCGTAACGCCACGTTCCCTCAAGACTCTTTCTTCAACCAGATGACCCTGTAAGGCCAGTCTGTTTTTAGTGGCTACTTTTTTACGAAGTTAAATCCAACTTGGAAAAGACTTTTTTTTTCTTTCCTGTGAGCTTTATTAGGTGGTTTTCATGACACTACCCTTGACCTACATGGATGGAGTAAGTTGCTAGGATTACACTAGTCGTTGGTGAGATGGTGCGGTTTGAACTCAGGTAGTCCGTACTGGGCTCCACACGTAGAGCAAGCGGCAGATGGAGGCTGGAACCTGGGAAGGCAGTGTTGTGTGCAGGACGCACGGTGGCGCTGTCTGTTGGGGCATGGTTTAGATCTATCAGATGTACCTACCAGCATCTGTTATGTTACACGTCTACGCTGTTAAGAATGAGCTCCGTAAGGATGTAAACTGTACTTCAGTATCATTATAAATATGGGGTAAGTCAGTACTTGAGTTGGAGGGCACCCCACATTTGGATTCACTGCACACAAGTCTGAGCCTGGGGTTCCTCTAGTGAAGGCTGGCTCGCTCTCTGGGTCTTCTAGGTGGACGGTTACCAAGGTTGGACAGCACAGTGAGACTGCAGTTTAAAGACCACACCATCTTCACAGTGGGGCCGGATCAGGATCAATCTGTGAGTATCCAGAGGGGAGGAGGTTTCCTCTCCTCTCAGGACATTTCCATCACAGGCCTCAGGTTATCAAACTAACAGATGGCCCCTACCTTTCCAAACCCTTTGGGCATCCATCTGTTCTCCTTAGTGCCCTGACTTTACCTCAAAGGGTGTCCAGATCTCACTATGCCAAAGATGCCTGCCTATTGGGCATCTGAGGCTTGCCCTCCCCACAGATCCCTCCTTAATTTCCCTCATGTGGTGATGGACGCCTGGTCTCTGCCTCCTGGTTTGGGCCATACTGCTCTTGCTCACACACCTCCCTCATGCACTCTCCCATCCTGTACTTTGCCCAGTCGGTCATTATGTATGGTTTTGTTGATGTTCTTCTAGATGGAGAAGAAAATTTATATAACCTTGCCACCTGGCCCCATGGTTCCTAAAACTGGCTTACCGATCCTAGACTCAACTGGAAAACTTTTAGAAATTATAAATTCCCAGGCTTCACTTGGTCTGGGTTAGAGCTTCTATATTTATTACCAAAGCTCCCTTTACAATTCTAAGGACCTTGGGAACTATTCCATGCCCTATGGTTTCACCTTCTTCCTCCTAGTCAGCTGTCTTGGGAGGTGCTCCATGAATGATTAGAGGGGCTGTGAGTCGGGGGGCAGCTAGATGTGTCCATAACCAGACTGTCACAGCCATTGGGGCCAGACCTGGGGAGGACTGGTTTATAATATACGTAGAAAACCTCAAAAGTATGCACTCTCTTGTATTCCTCAAACAAAAAACACAAAAAAAAACCCTAGTAACCCTTATCTAAGAGGTGACAAGGACTGAGGTTCTGGTCACTGTGTAGGATGGACAGACAGGGAAGTAGACTATTTGAGAGGCTACTGTAATTGGAAGTTTTTATAGATCCCACTGCTGGTATTTCTCAAGAAGTAATATTCACTCCATGGTGTTCATAAATTGTCAGCTTATAACTGGGAATGTCATATATGGATATAAAAAAAACGGTGCTGGCTGGATTAAATGAAACTTGAATGTTTGATAAGTTGATAGGTAAGTGGTTGCTTTTTCATTAAGCCACGTTTCTGATGATGCCATATGAGCTACACTGTTTTATCTTAAAAAAAAAAAAAAACGTGCCTATTTGCTATATACAAATAGTAATCTGAGGAATATAGTTTGTGTATTACATATCCTAACTTTGTGCCAAAAAGATTCTTGGTGTTAAATTTTGTTATTGGAGAACCTTCTTGTATTGACCTCAATATTGTGTTGACAGCTTAATTCTTATCTTTTTTTTAAGGATGAAACTCAGGAAAAGATGGTTTACATCTATCATTCCTTAAAGAATAGGAGAGAGACACACATGATGGGAAATGACGAAACAGAGGTTTGTTCCAACCTAAAATATCTTTGTGATTTGGTGATGGCTGGGAAGAATGTGTTACCTTTGATTTATGGGTGATGTGCTTTCTTATGACTGCAGCGTGGGCTTAACATTTCACACAATTGACAGAGCCCTTGCACAGGGGATGATTAAGTCAGACAGTTCTGTGATATACGTACACATACACCAGCTTTAAAAAGATACGAGCTGGGACCTTGTAGCCTTGTAGGAAATGTGTAATATCATAAATATGAAGCATTTCAAACGGCTAATTTCTTAGGATATAAAGTAGACCTTTCGTGAAGTCTAAGTTTTTATATGGGAATTGGCAAATTCTATACGTTACCTAGTTGTAAGGCTATCAGAAATACTGAACTATACAAGTTATGAAAATACCATTTTAAGATTTTTTATCTGACTAGTTTATCCTTTTCCAGTCCCATGGACTTCGCTTTCCTTTATCACATATGGATGCACTGAAGCAAATTTGGGGTCACTCAGCTATTTCTGTCAAGGACCTGAAACTGACTACAGATGAGGAAAAGGAAAACCTGGTGTTATCCCTCTGGACAGAATGCCTAATCCAGGTAGTCTAGGGCCTTTCCAGAATCAAGGGTGCACCGTCTCAGAGACACACGTGGAGAGAAGAGCAATGATGTATGTGCTGCTTCTGTCGATTGGGAAGGACCCTACAACAGCCTTCCTTACCTGTCATGGAAGAAGGGGGTCTCAGAAAGTAACCAAACTGTACTTTGGACAAACTCATTTAATCCAGTGTGGTAGAAAATGCACAACTCCAATAAATGTTATCATTGACATTTAAAGGTCGCTACCTGGCTTTGTCTTTGTTCTTTGGAAGAAACAACTTCTTTAAAGAGCCTTGTTGGCTCTACAAAAATCTTTTAAACAATTAACACAAAAAAATTTAAATTGTTTTTTTACAATGAAAATATACATACCTCCGTGTATACACAACCCCCTCCCCCCGTTAAAATAAAGTTACCCCGATAACGTAAGTTTCATTAAATACTGCCACACTAATGAGAGGCGCTCCCATCTATGGGCATACACGCGTTTTACAGCTGCTGCTTCAGAGATGACAAAGAGCCTGAGATTGAAGGGAAGAAAATCAGTATTTACATGGAAAGACCAAGTCTCTATAAAAAATGCTCAAAATATTGGGTCTTTGTGTTTAAACAATTGACTGTTATTTTACATTCTAAAGTGCGTATAGGTTGATATTCAAAAATATCGCTGGAGTATTTAATCCTTCTATATAAAAATAGAGCAGACAGTGTTCTGCTTTCTGGTAAAAGTTTGTGACGAAGGGAACAGTTGTCTCAAGTTCAAAACCAACTCAGGAGGGAAAAATACTTAAGAATTGTATAATTTTTAAAGGTGGTAATGATTACCTGATATCCTACCTGATTTTGCTTAAAAATGGAAATAACAGTTTTCAGCCATTTCATTAAGTAAAATGGTATAGAGTCAAAAAGGCTCAACTACTACTTGGTTTTAACTTAAACATTTGAAATTTCCCTTCAGGCAAAGAAAAATTTGACTAAACTCCTTGAGGGCAGATCAGGCAAAATCTAGGGTGAGGTCTCAGCACCAGGACAGGTGACCACCAATTATAGAGTCTTGTCACCCGGGAGAGAGTAAGGATGGTCACGAGTTATTTGTGCTTTTTTCGTTTGGCCACAGAAAATACGCCAATACTCGAGCCTCTTTCCTAAACAAAGCCAAGGTCCTTTCCTGGGGTCAGTTATAAGTATGAATACTTACGGTGCTTCAGTTATAAAAGCCTCAGTAGAAAAGACCCTTTAAGGCTTATCTAATACAGCAGCTTAATAGGAAGGTATATTAAATGTTTTCAGGCATTGCTAAAAAAAAAATTCTCTTCTTGCAAAAGGATGACTTGGCCTAAAGGAATTTGTTTCCCTGTGCTTCACACTCCCACACCCATCTCCTAGGATATTAACAGCTAATACAGGCTGACAGTCACCAAGGTCCTACAGTGACTTTCACGAGTAGGACTTGTGTCTGGTGGAGAGGAGAGAAAGCACACACTTGAGGCAAGTTGCTCACCAGAAAACTGGAGAGCAAGCAGGACTAGAACCTTTCGCAGAAATCAAAATGTGCTTTTCATAGGAACGCTAAACAACTAGCAAGAATACTTGAGTGTTGCCATGGTTAAGAGCAATGGTCTTGGAAGCTAGGAGCAAACTTCACTGTGCTCAGTGATGCAGGAGCGTGAAGACAAGTAGCTTCCTTTCCCAGGGACAGGAGGTTCGTTCTTTGCTCTTCCTAGAGATGCCGCAGATTCTCTCACAATATTTCAATGTCCCATTTCTGTGTTTCTTCTCCCTCCAGGGGTTGATTTACAATTACATGAGTCTTGTCATAATAATTTCCTCCTAAAATAGGAATTCCAAAAGAAAGGATTATTTGTTCACCCAGGTGCTTAACAATGTTCAGTCCACCGAGTGCCGGATTAAGACTTCATTCCTGGGGCGCCTGGGTGACTCAGTTGGTTAAGCGGCTGCCTTCGGCTCAGGTCATGGTCCCAGGGTCCTGGGATCGAGCCCCACATCGGGCTCCCTGCTCAGTGGGAAGCCTGCTTCTCCCTCTCCCACTCCCCCTGCTCGGGTTCCCTCCCTTGTCTGTCAAATAAATAAATAAAAAATCTTAAAAAAAAAAAAAAAGGCAGCCTGACGTGGGAAGCTGAGTTTAAATAAGCTTAACTATGATTAACCTCAAATCAGACCTCAATATGACTCAAACTGAAAAACTAAGAGGTAGAACAGTTGACTACAAAAGCCATGTGCCCAGCACCGCGGTTCTGGAGAGAGCTTGGGCTGGATGTCGGGCACGGTTTCTGTTTCCACAGACAGTGGCTTGTGACTAAGCCAATTAAATAGCCCAGACCTTGCTCAATTCCAAAGAAAGTTTAAATGATACCTGCCACCAATTTTAAGTGAGGGCTTTTAAAGACTACAGCAATTCATGGCAAAAAAGGTTTCTTTCTACGAAACAGGACATTTTATGGCTGATGAAGCTTTAAATTTAGAACTGTTCTCAAAGATCATGTAGCAAATGAGAATTTTACAACTGTCCTAATGAAAACCTCAGACTTTGTCCTGAGGCTTTTCTTGCTTGAGCCAAGTAGCTGATTGTTTGTTAAAATGGCGTATCTTTTCAAATGTAGGGACCCGAAGGGGTACGTGCACCCCAATGTTTATAGCAGCAATGTCCACAATAGCCAAACTGTGGAAAGAGCCAAGATGTCCATCGACAGATGAATGGATAAAGATGTGGCATATATACACAATGGAATATTATGCAGCCATCAAAAGGAATGAGATCTTGCCATTTGCAACGACATGGATGGAACTGGAGGGTGTTATGCTTAGTGAAATAAGTCAATCAGAGAAAGACATGTATCATATGACCTCACTGATATGAGGAATTCTTAATCTCAGGAATAAACTGAGGGTTGCTGGAATGGTGGGAGGTGACAGGGATGGGGTGGCTGAGTGATAGACATTGGGTAGGGTATGTGCTATGGTGAGCGCTGTGAATTGTGCAAGACTGTTGAATCACAGATCTGTACTTCTGAAACAACGCAACATATTTTAAGAAAAAAGAAAAAGAAGAAGATAGCAGGAGAGGAAGAATGAAGGGGAGTAAGTCAGAGGGGGAGACGAAACAGGAGAGATGATGGACTCTGAAAAACAAACAGGTTTCTAGAGGGGAGGAGGTAGGGGGATGGGTTAGCCTGGTGATGGGTATTAAAGAGGGCACATTCTGCATGGAGCACTGGGTGTTATGAACAAACAATGAATCATGGAACACTACACCAAAACAAATGATGTAATATATGGTGATTAACATAACAATAAAAAATTTAAAAAAATAGCGTATCTTTTTTCAAGAGTAAGTAGAAATGACTTAATATTTCTTTTGTGCCTCACGATTTCTTTTCCCCAGGAGGAGAAGGTTTGGAATTTAAAATTCTATCCAGGGACACAGAACGTTGGGTTTCCCCAAAGGCCCACCTTTAACATCTAGGACAAGTTGATCGCTGAGATAGGAGCTGATGGTTCCGTTTCTGTTCAGCCTCCACTTCTGCCGGAACTGTCCGTGTTCGGGCCAGAGAGCCACTTTAGCCCCGGGGGTGTCCCGGCCTCCAATCACATCAAGGCACGTGTCACTGGCCTAAAGGTTAGCAAGCAGATTGGCAGTACTGTGTTAGCTCCAATCAAGTGAACTGGGTCCCTTCCCTTTACACGACTCTGATCTAAAAGAGAAGACTATCCAGCATAGTTACAATTTCACCAACTGCTGAAGTTGTCTTTAGGGCAGTGGAGGGAGGTGGTACAGACACAGACCCACGGAAGTAGAAGTGCATCTGTGAAAAAGACACCGGCATCTGACAACAGACGGTCAATGAAGGTTTGCTGAATTACAATTAAATGTTAAGTCTCTGTTGGCATAAATGTATCAGGTGGACCATGGTTTCTTTTTTTTAAGTAGGCTCCACACCCAGTGGGGCTTGAACTCACAACCCTGAGCCAAAGTCAAGACTCAGATGCTTAACTGAGCCACCCAGGCGCCCCTGAGCCTGCCTGGTTTTCTTATAAAAGCATTGGGTGATGTGCCAGATAGCCAAACAATAATTACTTTTAAGTGCTTTTCATTTTTGTTGATGAGAAAAAAGTAGAGAATCTGTTGGTGACATAACAACACTGGTGTTCTATTCCCCAGAACATCAAATGTAATGGAGGCGTCACAAATGTAAACTTTATTTTAGAAAATAAAAAAATAACTACTTCACTGGGTACTGTGAAAGTTTCAAGATGTTTAGAACCACAAAGACAGCTGATTTTATCTGGGCCACAGAGTAAGGAATGTGTCACAAGAGCACAACATCCAGTTGGATCCAGTGAGTTGTCTGTCACTGGTTTTAAAACATCATTTAGGCACAGCCAAAGTATGTGATAACCTTAGTTTTTAACTTTCAAGTAGAAATTGAATTTTCTAGATGAAAAAATTGAGTCCATTTCACTTAAAAGCTTTAGTAATGTAACATGGCATATTTATACAGTCATGCAACCGTTTCTAGGGAGTTGTATTATTTTATAAGGCCATTTGATTCTTGCAAGATTCTGGCCTCTAAAAGAAAAAAAAAAGGCCCAAAGTTGGGGTGCGGTGTCCGTGGGGTGGCTGCTCACCTTGGATTTAAAGAGTCCTCGGCAGTAGTGCCAGATCTGAGTTGTCTTCCCGCTGTAGGGAGAGACGCACACGGATGTGGCCCTTGTGTCAGCAACGTTGCCAGTGACCGTCAGATACTCATCCTGGGCCCGGTTCTTTATCCTGATGTACACTGCAGGCTGCGACAGGGGAGAAGCGGCCATTTACAAGAAGGACTTGGGAATCTGGAAATCAGGCTCTAAAGAAGGCAGGCTGAAGCAAGGGGTGAGGGGATCTAGCTTATGCAGTTTCACTCTGCCTCCCTTTAGCCAGTATGTGTGAATTACTCTTTTTCAATTGACAGACCTTAGACCACTGAACACAGAGGTTAAGTTGTACAATAATCTCTATTATACTTTTCTGAAAAGTAAACCCTTTTGGAAGGGTAAAAGGTTAATAGTTTCATCTACTGGAATGCCATGTGGCAAGGGGTGGTGCAGTGTCCGGACTTGCTGAGTTTCTTTCGGGAACCACTGTGTCCTCACTGCTGGGGGAGAGGGAGGGGACGAGCAGGAAGCCAAGATACAGCCCACCTACAAGGCTCTCACAACCACCGGGCAAGCGCTGCAGTGACCACACATACTGTTTGAGCTATGGTGAAGTGCCAAACGCTGGCTTTGGGAGGTCTTGAAAAACCCAGCTTAAGCTGAGGGCCTGAGCAGCTGTGGTAATGACTGTTTGTGGACCTTTACACTAATCCAAGGGAAGAGACCACTGTATGTTTAATCGTAACATAGGTATTCAAAAATTGGGTAACAAAGAACTTTATCCCCTGGGCCTGGAATACATACCTGAAGTCTTCCAATAAAATAAATCTAGGACTTGCCTCTAAGGAATAATATTAATATTTATTGAGAGCTTAGTGTATGTCAAGCAGTGTGCTAAATGCTTTCTGGGCCATCGTATTATCTAAGTTAATAACCAGAAGAACCCTTTAAGAAAGTCCAGTTATGACCTGAATTTTACAGAGTTAACACAGATATGGGGAAGCCAGGTCAGCCTGCAACAAAACCATCCCTCTAAAGCCAGGATGCTCTAAGTAAGGTCTGCTGAAATATACTAGTTACACTCAGACACCGGGAATAAGAGACCATGTCCAAAGGTGGCAGTGTGAATTAAGTCAGATAACGAAAGGACACCGCACAGGATAAAAACTCCCCAGAAACCATTCTTTTAGCCTTAAGCCTCCCGTCATGAAATAAAATACAGAACATTCAACATCCCCACCTTGGGTCACTATGTTGGCATCCCAATCAGAACTTCGCTAAATAATAACAAAGTATTTACTAAGGAAGCACTTTCACTCTGAGAAATATAAGTGCTATGTAAATGCAACAATGTACCATGGTAAGTCCACCATATTCTACTACTTTGAAACTCAGATCAACAGGAAGCCAGCTGAATTTTGGTACACTGCTGCCATGTTTGGCCTTTCAAAGGAAATAAACATTCTGGGACATATTTTTTTTTTTTAAAGATTTTTATTTATTCATTCATGAGAGACAGAGAGAGAGAGAGAGAGAGAGGCAGAGGGAGAAGCAGGCTCCCAAGGAGCAGGGAGCCCAATGCGGGACTCGATCCCAGGAGCCCGGGATCATGACCTGAGCCGAAGGCAGACGCTTAACCATCTGAGCCACCCAGGTGCCCCTCTGGGACACATCTTTATCTGGTAATTTAAAGCAGGTAAAAAAGACCTCTACTAGGCAAAATGTTGTAAATGTTTCAAAGCACTACTTCCACATTCATAATGCAACAGTAATGTACTTAAATATCTGTGATAATAGTCTGTATAATTCTGTAAGTCTCCCACTGCAATTATTAATTTCTTGAGGCTTCAGTACATCTTTATTAGTTTCCTTACCTTGTATGTAGAAGAAAACAGGCGTGACCTTCACAGAGGACAGAGTTCCAATTATGTTAGGACCAAACATCACAGTTTTAATCAATTAACTCAAGTAAAGTACTAATTACCCTTATTACACACTTGTAGTCTGACTCTTCTGTAATTATACTTTAAAATACTGGTATGCATTATAAGTGCCTTAGTGACTTCCTAATTCCCAAACTCAAAGAGGATCGCATTTTAATTATTACTGAATTTCCAAACAAGAATATGAACTACAGCAGTACCAGCAGCCCTACCAAAAAGGAAATGACCCATAATACTGTTTTAGAAGCCCAGAATTCCTTTGCTGGGTCTTAAAGCTGTGGCCTAAATAAACAAAGGCAAAATAATCTATAAAAATATTATTTTAAAATGTTAAACCAGAATAGGAATCAGATAGTTTCTAAAGCACAATGAAGATGAATAACACAATGTTAATTGTAAAAAAAAAACTTTTATATAAAATTGGAAGCTATTGTTCTAGCTATCCTTTATCTCAGGACCCTGAACAATTGCAGAGACATCCTTCCCCAGCAAGGAACCACCTTTCAGAAGTGAGGGAAATAGTCTCAGCATCCAGCTTGGCTGCTAAAGTTCCTAACGACATAGGATTAGGCATTATTATATAGTTGGTAAAAGCTACACCGAATTCCCACTTCTGCCTTGCTTTTCCCCATGGCTTTTTCAGTGGGATTACCCATCATCCCATGTGACAGGAGTGAGGAATAAGCAGTATGTGAAGGTCATGGAATCCTGTACCACAAACTCTGCCAGGAAAGCCTGCTAAACCTTAGCACCCTCAGAAGAGCGTTTCTGATTCTCTCAAGGGACACCATGAATAATGAACTTTCAAAATAAATGTGTAACCATAGTAATATAAGCCAGATGTTGTGTCAGACTCTTTCTATACATTTTTCTTATTCAATCCTCACAGCAATACTGAGAGGTAAGTCATGTGATCACTGTTTCACCAGAGGAATTGGATTCCTCACCTAGAGTCACACTGCTTACAAGTGGCAGGGCTAGGATTTGAACCAACAGAACCAAAGAGTGGCAGGAATGAGCATGGTGGGTGGATGGGTGGATGGGTGGGTGTGTGTGTGTGAAAGGGGGGGGGGAGAGAAAAGGGCACCAAGACCAACTAGGTTAATTTTTTATTGGCTACTATTTATTTAACACTTAACACGTCCAATCTGCACACTGGCCTCAGCACTTACATCCACTCTGCTACCTTCAGCTCAGGGCTTGGAATATATGGTGCCACTCTGTAAATACTGATCTTACTTTGGAGGAAAGTAGGGTGTGGTCGCCCAACACAAATTTCAGAAAATAAATCTGGGTTCAAATCTTGGTTCTGACACTTGGATGACTTTTGCCAATTTGCCTTACCTCTCTGACCCCGATTTTCCCATCTGAAAAATGGGAATAACAACTCCTACCTTAAAGGGCTGTTGTTAAAATCAAGTGAGAAATGTTTCTAATTAGAGAGAATTCAAATGGCATATCCACAGACCATTGCACCCGACAGCCAGGCTTGGGTTTTTCACCTTCTGTGAAACTTCCACCACTCCGTACATGCTCATACTTCCTTTCTGTAAACCAGGCATTTTTGATGGCTATACACTATTTTGCGTTTTATGGTACCATTTTGAGTTGGACTTGTTTTACCCAATAAACATGTAAGCTCCAATAAAGCAGAGATCATGTCTATCCCTTAAATCCTCCATAGTTCTTAGCCTCATGTCAAACATCCCTTTATCCATTTATTCCTTCATTAAGCAAACAGTCCTTGAATTCTTACAATGTGCCAGACATTGTGCCAGATACTAGGGGTAGAGCTGTAAGTAAGATGTGCACAGCCCTGCCTTCCCGGGACTGGCAGCAGAGTGAGAACATGCCCAGTCCAACCACAACTGCGAGGTTACAAATCTCAGGCGGTGTCTTTGTAGGAAAAGAACCAGGTTTTTTAAGATCTAATTTAGACTGGCAGATAGGATGAAGGAAGCATCCTGGAAGATGGGACACTTAAATTTAGAGGGGTGAGTAGAATTAGCCAGGCAAAGCATGAGGGAAGAAACTTGTAGACAGAGGGCACAGCCTGTATTAAGAGCCTGAGTAGGAAAGCACTTGGCACGTTGGTGGCTGTGTCATGGCCCCATTTGAGTGAGGAGCAGACCAGTGAGGGAAGAGGCTGGAGAAGCAAGGGGGCCAGAGCACACAGGCACGTTGATGAGATCAGACTGTATCCCAAAGGAGAGAGAAAGCTTTTGAACAGAAGACTGACAAGCAGTAGGTGTGTCATGAATACCAAGATCTATCCCAAGTTGTATGTAAGTAGAAGAAAAACTCCAAATACTTAGAACTAGGGCAGACTCAAGAGTTCATTGTTTTCTTTGCTTTCCACGGAGCTTATGCTGCTCAGTATTCCATGAAAAGTCAGTAAGGTAAGACTTTGGACTCAAAGCTAAAATCCAACATTGACCTTAGATACAACTTAATGAATTGGTTAATGTCTCTAAGATTCCTCATCCTAATCGGAGCCCCCTGTAATATAAATGTCAAACTAAATGGTCAATATTTCAGATGCTATGGTTCATGACATTTCTACTAGAAAATGAAGCTATTTTGGATCTTATGGGTTTTTTTTTCCCCTGCTCCTTACCTGCTTCATAGGACGGAGGGAACCAATTGTTTTCCATCCACTGAATGCTGTCCAATTGGGAATTTCATTAGGCTCAAGTAAGATTTGTCTTCCTAAGAAATTGGATCCTTCATAAGCTATCCACCTATGTTAAGACCAGGAAAAAAAAAAGAGTACTTAAAAATAAAAAGCAATACCTTATCAAAAGTACCTTTTATACAAGGTTCATTTTTTAAAACTTTTAGGTTTATAGATTTTTTTTAAGGAAAAAAAGTATAATGGAAAAGCAGGAGGGGCTAGGTGAAAGCCCAGTGCTCGGGGGCTCAGAAGATTTGCATTCTGATTAGGATTCTGGTTTCTAACTTGCTAAAACAAGGTTCCTGCCAGGTCTAAAATTCTGTTTCCTTGATAATACTGTTTTCTTAACAGTTTAACCCTCGCAGACAGACCACAGCCTCTCACTGCTTCCGTTACACAACACTCTCGGTCCCGCTCCCACTCCTGGGCTCATCCTCCCACGTGCTCCGGGCCCCTCCAGGAGACTCCATGGCCTCTCAGACACACCTCCTTCCATCATTTCCCCAAGGCCACCATGGATAGCTTAAAATTATCCACAGAAATCCCGTCTTGCCTCAAGGCCCAAGCTCTTTTGCAAATCCTTCTCAATACCCTTGTGGCCTTCCACTTGGGCCAAGTTAGAGTATGTAGAAGCATGCAGGGAGGGCCCTGAGGCGGGTCTTGAGCTTAGAGCTGCCCCCATTCCTTCACTGACTGACACCAGCTGCATCCACTCCACAACAGCGTGCTCCACAGTTGTGACAGAGACAGGATGGCCAACAAACTGAAAATGCCATCTGGTCCTTTCCAGAGAAAGGCTGCTGAGCCCTGATGTAGGTGGTTATCAAGCTGAATAGCTAAGGGGAATCGACTGGGACTGCCAAGAGGACCTGAAATTCTCAGGACTCCGGTCACCACAAACAGTGCTTTCGGAACATACGTGTGGAAGATAAGGTGGCTACCTTACTTGGTTCAGACAGAGCACCCTGCTCCCCACACTCAAGATCAGGCTTGGCCCGGTTTTTCATGGATGGATGACAGAACAGATGACCTTCCCTTCACCCCTTCTTGCCTACACAAATCTAAGCCATCAGATTGGTGCAGAGTCAGGACAGCATGACCATGGAGATGCTTACCCTACCTCTCCAGCTGTGTAGACTTTTTAAACAGGCAGGGAAATTTCAGTTATAAAACCTAGGCAAGACTTTAATGAACTACACTTCTCTTTATATTAATCTCAATGAATTCCACAGCGGAAAAGCATTAAAGCTTGACCCTCATTATGATCACAAATCACAGATATGGGATAATATGGGGATTAAACAAAACAAAACAAAACTTGTCCCTGAGGGTAGCTGGCCGTGCATTAAGTCATATTCTGTGCCATCTGTAGCCTAAGAAAATCTTTGGACAGCCTTCTCTATTCCTTACTCTGTGTTCCCATTCTCTTACAGAGAATCCAGAACAGGAAGAGTAGGTGGATAGTAAGCTAAAGAGAAGAAATAATGTCAAGGTAAAACAGTACCAGTTTTCTACAAAAGACTGAAATAAGCTGGTAAGAAATTACAGCAGGTAGGTCGGTAATTATCAGTTCCACATAGGAATACAAAGAAAAGTATAAAAATGCCATGAAAAGTCCTGTATCACAGGGATGAAGATTTCAATTCCAACAGACTTAGTTAAGTGGTAAATAATATACTGGTATATAGTATGGGGATTAATATGCTTAGACAGAGTAGGTCAATTTATGTTTAAGAAATACCAATGTCAATTGCTTTGAAGAAGGAAAATTAAATTGCTATACGTGTGAATAATTCAAAAGCCATTTCTTATAATAGTTGGCTTATTTTTCAAATCAATTTATATTCTTAGCTCTTTCTTATGTTACCCCAGATATTTATAGCAGAGTTGATTATCACAATTTAAAAGCCGTAAGAAATAAAAACAATCATCTTTACATTAATCATCTAGAGCTATGTGTGTTTAGTTGACTTTTGGTACCAAACAGCAACAGTTCAGGAGGAGGGGCAGGCTTCCATGCCCACACTCTAGAAATGCCCTGAGGGGCAGATCTCCCAGGAAGCCTTCGAGCCTTAACCTCAGGGCCCCTCACTGGCAGGCCTCATACCATTTTTATTCTAAATAAATATGCAAGTTCATACCTAATTTATGTATCCATAATTGTTCATATCTTTTTGTAAAGCAGTCTCCCAAATTGTGTAAGTGCAGGCCCCACACACCCTGGATCTGCCCCGACAACCTAAATGAATAGCACCACTGGTGGGTGGGCCAGGTCCACCTCAGGATCCTCAGCATGAAAATAAGTACCTGGAGCAAAGAGCTCTAGAGGAAACAAGATGCCAAATCAAAAGACAACAAAACACTATCAGTCTTACAAACACCCAGTTGTCTTAGGCAGGCAATGGTGTCAACCAAAGAAGCTACCAATTTCATTAGTTATCGCCTGAAAGAGAAGTGGGCTCAACTGGTTAAGGTCATCTGGTCTACCTACTCTAAGTCGCATGCTCTGAACAGACGGCAGCCCTTCTCTCCCGAAGGGCTCTTCTCCCAGACCATGGCATGCCACTATATATATATACGGGACTTGGTCCATGGTCTTACCTTACTGAAACAGAAACTACTATTATTACATTGAGAGAGTAAAGGAGTAATAGTATCTTCAGATCACACAACAGCAGCAGTGGGGAAATAAAAAGCAACTGTGCAACTCTCTCCTAAAACACTGACTGAAACAGGTCAAGCCCCCGTCCCATACTTACAGTCCACTTTTTACCCAGACAGACTGGGTATAGAAGTGCAGGTCCTTGTTCAGAACAGAGTTCACAGCCTCTTCTAGATGTAACTCTCTTCCCTCACAGTGTTCCAGAGCAAAAAGGCTAATGGAGGGTTCTTCAAAAACCTAAGAGCACAAAAAAGCAAGAAAGCATCATGGTACATGGTGACCACACTTCAGCGACCTCCCGGTAAGCACAGCGGGTACTCTGGATCCACTGTACCCTCGAATGCATATAGTGTACTGCTCTACCCTCTAATGATGTTACAGTTAACACTGCACCGGTGAGATTAAATTCTACTCATAATTTTTGTTTACTTTTTTTGTAAATTAAAGTTCCAGAATAGCAATCTTAATCTCAGAATGAAAATGGACACTCGGTTCCAATTAAGGTCTGGCTGTGCTGATACGGACATTGTGGTCCTGCCAATGCTCTCGGCTGGCAACAGAATGAACATGGGATGGATTGGCACCCTCGTTTCCCCAGAAAGCCACAGCAGCAGTCACTGAGAATGCAATGCTTGGTGACTCTAGGCTTTTAAATACACTCCTAGGAGGAAGAAAAAGGCATTTTTATTTTAACAGCAACTAAAAGCCAGAATGCCCAGGGACAGGAGTGATTTTTACATGAGAAGTTAGTATTCCCCAATTCCTTGTGTCAAAGAACAGAATTTTACTCTTTTTCATTCATCGGTATATGCAAGACCCCAGGCTAGAGGACTTCTCAGGGATGAGAGGACAAAGTAAGGCACAATTTCTTGTGTTCAGGACAGTAATAACTAAATTAGGAGCATTGCACAGACATGGAAATGGAACCCAGGGTAGAAAAGGATATGCCCTGTGAGAGTGCTCAGAATCTAGAAGACTAGATCCTTTGTAGCAGAAGGGAGCAGGAAATGGGGAAGCTTCATGGATGTGGATGCTGTGGTCTGTGAGCTCAGTCTTCAAGGAAGCAATGGGTTTGGACAGGCCCAGGGAGAATGGAGGGAAGGCACTCCGTACAAAGGAAGGGAGAGAGAAATGCATGGAGGAACATGATAAGGGAACGGCAAGCAGACCCATTTGGCTAGAATCGAGTCTGACAGAAAACTGTTAGGTGCCTCCACTGTTTGCTATGGGGTATTGAATTATCTGCTTCTCTTTCCACTGACAAGGCAGAGACAGATTTACCGCCAACGGGGAGTCCTTGAAGGTTCTTGGATAGGGGCCTAGGAATGGACTAAAGTGGAAGAGCGTACTTCTTATGCTTCCACCTTGTAGAAAAGAAGGGAAAACTTACACACATGCACACACATAATGCGCACATATATACATGAACAACTTTCGAAAAAAAAGAAAAACCCATGAAACTACTCTGTGACTACCTGTCAGGAGAGTATGATCTGAGAAGATAAAAGAGAAAGGTTGAGAGCCAAATTTTTGACTACGTGCCTTTTGTACTTTTTGAATTTTGAACCATGGAAACCTATTACTTATTCAGAAATTTAAGTTGGCGATCATTATGCACATTTTGCATGTACATTTGTTTTTCTTTAAATGGACTTCAGGAAATCTATCAAACAACATGAGTGAAGAAAAAAGAATGTAAATAAATGGAAGTATACAGGAAAAATACCCTAGTCCAAAAAAAAAGAGAGCCAGACCTAAAGTGTGTATCGGGGTGGCGGGGGGGAGGGTGGTAGGAGGTTAGGACAGGTGAGTAAGAGATGGCCAGAAAAACTATCATGGTGATGAAACAGGTATGATAAGGCAAACACATGGAATGAGCAAATACAGAAAAAGATGTGAAAAGATGTGGCTGGGGGCATGTGGTATAATTTATTATATATGAGGAAATCAGGAGGCAAAATGTGCCCAGAAGCTAAGAACTTTTATTTAGGACTGAATGTTTTAATGCTGAGGTAGACACAGGATTATCTGAAGAGGTGTGTCCACCAAACACTGGGCTGTCTGATCTGGAGGTCAGGGAAACAAATCCAACGCAGGCATGGTAACTGTGGGGACTCCCAGCATCCGAGGAACACGAGCCAGTCAGGGTGGGGGAAAGGGAGGGGCCAGAACCGTGTGGGGTCAGAAATATACCAGGAGAGGGGAGCCCAAAGAGAAAACACTACAGAAGTCGAGGGGAAAGGAAAGGATGAGGGAGAGTTGTCCACAGTATCACACACTTGCGCCATGTTGAGGAAGAGGGTGGCTGTGACGAGGCTGCCTTGGTCTGGTGATCAGGAGGCAGCTGGAAGCCTGTCAGAGAACTCTGAGCAGCGCGCGGGAGAGGAGGGTGGGCTCTAAGTGGTAAGAACTGTAGACTGGGTACACGGGCTATTTTTCAGAGAACTTTGGTGAAGAGAAGGAGGGAAATGGGCTAGTGGCCCATGCCAATGTTTGCGGGCATGGTGGAAGGTGACCGGCGGGCAGGATAGAAAGAAGCCGGTACTGCGAGGTAAGAGGGATGGTTCTAGGGAGGAAGTGAGCGGTCCAATCCACTGCTGCCCACCAGTTCAGAGCCTCTGCCTGGGAATCAGTCCATGAGGGAAAAGAGCACTCTGCAAGGATGAAATACAAGGAAAGACAGAAAAAGAATGCCAAAGAAATTTCCAGGTTTTCAAAGTAGGTAAATGTATGAGTCATTCTCTCTTTAGGTTATGTGGCAAAGGTTACCTGTGGATGAGGGAAGGTCTGAAGTGCGGTCCCAGAGAACCGTCTGCAGTGAGAGAAAAGGTGCCCATCCGCACTCTTCCACATGTGGCTACTGATCATGTGAAATGTGGCTTGTGTGACCAAGGGACTGAAGTTGCTTACTTTATTGAACTAAATATTAAATATAAACATTACAAATATAAATAAATATTAAATAACCACATGTGGCTAGTGCTCTGGTAATGGACAGTAAGGATTTAGGGATTAGAGGACACTGGAAAAGAATGTAACAATCACTGTGTGCTGTGAGACAATAAGGGAAGCATAAATGGGCTGCCCAGGAGCATCAATTTTCCTTCAGTAAACACCATAAACTGGGTCAGGAATAGAAATTCATCTCTAGTCACTGAGTGACCACAGGCAAGATTCGGCACCTCTTCTGCTATCTGCAAAATAAAAATCAGAAGCATCCCAAGAGCTTATAGAGGAAATGTCCTTACAGGCATCCAGAGCAGCAGGTTAGAAATGTAGCCCAACAGCAGACTCTACATTACCCACTAGAACGGGTGACTGAAGGTGGACAATCAAAATTCACAGATAAGCGCCTGACTTTAATGTTGGATTTTCTCCAACATCTTCACCTTAAGCTTAAAAAAAGAAAAAAAAAAAAAAGATTTTCAGCTTACCGCTTTACACATCTGGTTGAGCTACTAATTAGTAAGGAAGGGCAGACAGGCAAGGAGGCCAGACAGGGCTCACAATCAACCATTAGCAACATTCTCCCTAGTAAAGAGTTCACTGCGGTGAACTCTTAGAGTAGAGTGTAGAGTGACAGATGCCTGTATTAAAGGCATTTAAGACTCACATGATGTAACTGTTTTAAACCCAAGAGGGGAAAAATTAAAAACTTACTATGAGAATGTAATTTAAATGCTAAACACTACTGTAAGAAAAATAGGACCTGTGTACATTTTTCTTCCTCCTTTTGCAAAATGCCCATAAAGACATTTTTTAAAAGACTGCCATTATCACTCAAACTGCATCAAATTCATTCCCCAATTTAAAGATGATATAGCAATTCTGTGTCTAGGAATTTATCTTTAGGAAACAATGTAAAATTTGATGCAGGGGATCACAGAAGATGGGTTTTAAAAAATGATGATGCAAGGAGACTGAGAACAAAATTATAGAAAATGACTGAGACAGTATTTTTTGTGAGTTTATATAAATCAGTAAAAATGCCCCACTGCTTCATTAACAACAATGGGATCATCATGTGGTCCAATCTATCAGACTTTTCATCTGAGAACATCTATTATTTCTAGGCTTAAAGTCATCCACCCTCTAGAGGTTTAATATATATATTTAACTTGATCTTTCTCTATTTAAATTGTTTAAATTTAAATGGTTTTAATTTATACATATACTTAAATTTATAAATGCCCTTGATTTATAAATGTACTTAAAGGCTAGGAAGGTCAGCCTAAGTGCTAACGTGGACTGGATGGTGGAGGGGGGCTGATAGGTAATCAGTCAGAAATAAAGAATGCTGAAGAACTATTTTAAAATCATACTTTTTTCTGGTACATTTTCCAGACATGGAAGTAGGAATATAAACTATTAACAGACTTCAAAACTGCAAACGACAGAATCATCTCAACTTTGCAAGGGCAATAGGAAACACCAGAATTTAACTACAGTCTGAGCTCTACAAATGTCTTGGCCTCAGTCCATGTTAACTTAGAAGACAGCCAACCATTTGGGGCCAAAGGCTCTTCTTAGGTGTCAGCAGTAACAGGACATTTCTGCTGGGTCAAGTCTAAGCCAGGCAAAAATCAGACACCTTTTCTAAAAAGAGGACACAGTTAAAAAGAAAAGGAATACTTGAACAAACTGCATACAAGAACTTTAAATAAGAAAAAAAAACAACAGAAAAACCATACATCAACTAAAATACATTTTAAATGACAGTACCAGTAATAACTAAGATACAGAGCACCTTCCTGTGTGCCAGGCATTATGTATAAAAATCTCCATCCCCACCCCTTATCCATAATTCTGAAACCCAAAAAGCTCTAAAACCCCCATTTTTTCCCCTTAATTCCACTGGCAACAAAACCCGACCTGAATAAGTGGAAGGCTACTTATAATCTCTCTCCAATATGTATAGCTATAAAAATATTTGCTACAGCAATAGGAATCAGTTTAATTATGAGGTGCTTTGGGAATGTTTCCTTAAAGGCTGTATGTGAACCATACCACTGTTTAAAGGGGAAAAACCCCAAATCCCAAAATATATTCAGATCAGGAGATTGTGAATTTATTCACTTATTCGATCCATACACCTTCTCACCAATGAGGGTGCTATTTTTACCCCCACTTTACAGATGAAGAATCAAGGTACAGGTGACACACGGCAGTGGGAGAACGAGCATCTGAGTCTAGACAGCATGACCCCAGAGGCTGGGTGCTCCACTCCTACACTATGG